GAAAACAGTTCAAGACAGCCAGGGTATTTGAGTTGGTCACTGTGGACCAATATGATAAATGGCAATGGTTTGGGTTGTTTCTCCATTTGGGCATGGAGCCCTTCTCAGGCTTCTTATTATGGGTAAAAATATGGTGGACCAATTCTAATCCAAGACTCATATTCAGCTATTATTTGGAAATGGCATGGTTTTATGGGGGTAAGATTGCCTCTACCAATGGCATTTCCAATTACAATTTACACTGGACACTGTTCTGATCCTAATATAAGGAATACCCCTTGTCACCCAGAGTGACCCTGGAAGTGAGAACAATGGCATTGCCAATGGGCACTCCTTTATTCAACAATGACTTGATCCGAGCCTCATCAGCAAATTGCAGCACATATGGAAATGTGGTCATATGAACATCAAGCCTGAAATCAAGTGGAGATGTGAGTTCACCCAGGCATATGAGAATATGTTTGAACATGGAGTGCATGAGGGGTGGTATAACTGCAATGACTACTATGAGAAGTGAGGCTCTACCCAATGACACTGCATTCTGATTCTGAGGCCACCTAGCAATGTTTTTCATTGGTTATCTATTCCTTGGCTGCAGAGAAAATTGGATGAATATACCAAGATGCACAACACCAGCAAGCCACAGAAGGACAGGACAAAATCACAACTGCAAGGAGTGCCGCAGCATATTCTGTACCATCCAGAATGTTATGATGATGCCCATTCCTTTAAGGTAGGTGGATGGATCCATTGGGGTGCAGGTCTATGTTAACATGTGTGGTCAAGGTGATGGTCACTATGGAAGATCTTGCTTTGGCTGAAGAAAAGTATGCCCCCCCCAGTCATCTGGTTTTCCAACTCATTCTGGAAGAATTCGATTTGGTCATGCAGAGCACTTATAAGGGTAAGTTTGGGGATCACTCATGTACCCTCCATTAACCAAAAGATGTGATAGCCATCGACAAACCAGAGGTCAACATAGAGAGCTTCTGGGACATTTATCTTCAACTACGAGATGGGTTACTACTGGAAATGAGGCATGCCCTCCAGTTGTCACTGGTCCGGAGGGCAGAGGCAGAACTGACCATGGTCAATGAATACATTGACTTGTCACCTGGAGAGCCTGAAGAGTGCACTGAAAGAGACATGGGCATCAAGGGTTTGGGAAGAGAAGGAAATTACAGGTTTGGGGAAGGGGAAAGAGAGGTTGGAAATACAGTGATGAAGGACCTGTTACAAGCAGACTTCACAGAACCTATCTAACTTGACTGAATGTATCACACACTCTTAGATAGATCTAGAGGGGTATGGACACCGATGTTCCCAGGGACCTAATATCTGATTTGATGCTCATGCTAGTAGTGCAGGACATCTGCCATGAAGAAGTGATTGTGATTGCAGCATGCTGTGCTATACTATGTAATCTTTCCTCAAAATATTTTGAGGACCCTGTCAGCTTTTCATGGGCTTCTTACCATCCTTCTTAGATCTGTTCCTCTCTGCAGCCTCTAACATGTGCATATCATGCCAGAACTCATTTGATGGTTCTTCCCAACTTTCTGGTGCTTCCTCATCCCCATGAGCCTTGTACTGATACCAAACAGCATCCAGGGCCTCTGCAAGCCATTCATCTTTGAGGTTGAGGTAGTGAGAGGGCCTCTTAGGCTGCCAGTCTTTGATTGAGACTGGACACGAGAATTTTGTTTAGAGGGATAGTGAATCAAGAATAGATCCACATACTTTTCTTATAACCCTGGAGGTGTCTCAAGCATGACTGCCTCTGTCCATACTTGTGGCACTTGACACAAGAAGATCCTTCCCACCCATAACAGCTTTGTTGAAGTCCTTGATGAGGAGTAGTGCAGCAGTGACATCCATGGCACATTTGTGCACCAAAATATATCTTTCTCTGGTCTCAGTAAGATACTATATAAGTAAAGAAATAACCTACCCAGAAAGGATGAGGAAAGAGACCTGACACTCTGACCATTTGTGCTTCATAGCAAGCATCAAGGTCAGGGATTATGGTGACATCTAACCCAGGAGGAGGGCAATGCAGAAGATCTGGGTTGATGTTGCCTATGGGAATATGACAGGAGGGCCTCTCTTGGCTGTGATGGCACTCATGGATGAGCTGTACTTGCTTGTTGTGTGGGTTGAGGTGATGCTTGGTGTACTGAGTAATGCTTTCATAGATCTCTTCACCCATTATGACATGCCTGCCAGCTTGCAGATTGGCCAAGTCCATGTCATTGAAAGGGTTGGGTGGAGGGGCAATGTTGCAGGCATCAAACTTGAGCTGATCAAGAATAGCAGCAGGTAAGGCATTGAGTGAGTATGGCCAGTCCTCAAGGTCCAGTTTAATATGCCACTTAAAAGCATATCAGATGTTGTCAAGCATGATGGTGGCAAAAAGCTGTGTTGGAGGAGATTCAAATAGTGCATGATGAAGCATAGTGTCAAGCTGGCTGTCATATGAGCAAATAAAACAAGCAGAAGAAGAAAAGCTTACAAAATGGTAGCAAGTCATCCAGGCTGAGACCCATTGGTATGATGCATGGTAAAGAAGAGGACAAGGGTGAGTCAGACTATTGATGGCCTTCAAGTATTTTGTGGAGTAGAGGTCAATGCAACATCTTTCTGATGGAGATCCCAGCTCTCCCCCTTCACATTGTTGCAATAACTCTAGAAGAGCCCAATCTTCACCAAAAGCATGGTTGACATCTTCTATATGCTTGATGTCAGCATGGATTTCATATTCCTGCTTCCAAGTCCATATAGCAACAAGATTGACAGCAAGAGGACCCTGCATTTGGAGCCAAGCCCATGCCTTGTTATCATGGACAAGCTCAAAATATTTGGACTGTTTGGATATCACCATGAGATGGTAGAGAAGGTGGATATGCATACCAACCAAGCACACCAATCCTGTATTCCACAGATTGCATTGACTGTATTCTGTTCATGAAGGAGGGGGATTGGAATGCATTGCTCAAAGTTGTTGATTAGTTCCTGGGCAGTTTGACATTGCAGAATGTGCTGCTCCAGCATGAGGTGGGCATTTGCAATGATGTAGCCATACTCCTCCTCCTCCTCCTCAGTAAGTTTTTTTTTTGAGTTGGATCCAGACCCAGACCCATCTCCACCCCCACTGCAGTTAGAGCAAGAGTTCAAAATGTGCTCTTTCACTGTGTGAATGACCAAATTGAGGCACTGATTGTCACATTGGAGGGTCTGGGTGTGCCAATGGTTAAAGTAAGACTTCGAGAGCAACAGAATAAATCAGTCATTTATGGGGCAGTTAGAGCTATTCCTTACCTGAAGCTCCTTGAGTTTTTTCTCATAATTGTTGAGTTCCTCTGGCATAGCAGTTTGTCCAGGAATGTTGTGGGCAAGATCTAGAAGACTGCCTTCTGCTTGTGCTTGAGCAGCAAGAGCTGCCATGAGATCTTCTATAGGTAGTGCTGACAGATTTCTGGCTACCAGGGGGAATGTCTTGACTGGCTTCATGAAGGTCATTGAGAATGGCATTAACATGGTCCTTTTTGACATGAGATACTCTGGAATAATTTGCTCAAAGGGTAAAAAATCACTGACTTGTTTGTCTTCATCAGTGTCTGGGTCCTGCATATGATCATATGCATGGTGGTCCATATCAATCTCTTCGAGATCTCTGAGGTTCTGAGTGTCATGAAAGCCCTGCAAACCTGGTGTATTGGTAGGTGAGTGGGATCCATCATATTCTTGCTGACGGAGATTTGGGAAAGCTTCTTTGTTTGCATCTGGTGTGAGCTCATCAAGCTGCTCTTCATCAGACCAGTGAATAGACTCATCTGTGGCAGATTTGGAAGGATCCAGATTGGATCCAGGGTGAAAGGAATCTCCTGAGTGAGAGGAAGGGGAAGATATCTGCTTCAGTGGCACTGCTATGTCATCTTGGTGTGTCGATGACTGTACAGCATGCCTTTGTGGAACATCCCTAGTCATGGGATGTTGAATCTCCTCCCCCTGACTATTGAGTACTGCAATGGTGGGGGGTGGGGGGTGAGGTCCAGCCTGCAATTTGGGAACAAGCACCTGGAGTGCCACCCTAGCTTTCTGCAATGCTTCCATCCTTTGGTGCCAGTGCTTCATTTGACAATGGCCAGGATAGAGTGGGTGAGGGGGGGTCTTGGCATCTTTCCACATGGCAAGTACATATTGAAAACTGTGTGGTTCTCATCAGGAACATCCAGTCTGTCCAAAGGATTAGAGTCACCAGGCTGAGGGACAGAGTGTTGTGAAGATGGAGATATAGAGTGTTGTGAGGGCAGAGCATAAGTCATCAAGAGTTGAGAGCTGGGGGGTGTTTCAGCAATGCACCATTTCTTGAACAGTCCACCATCTTGTGCAGCAGCTTTCCTCTTAGCCATCAATGAATGAGGAGTTGAGGATACAGACAGTGAGAGGAATGTAAGAGCAGGAGAATGCTCAGGGTCTTCACAAGTGTGGAGTTTATTATAACAATATAAATTATACCTATTGACAACTGATGTTGTTCCTTTACAGCAAAATTGGTGAAAATCAATTTGTTAAACAATCCTAGTTTAATACATAAGTGGAGAGGGGAGGCCCACCAATGACCCCATATTGAACAGCATAGTGGGTAAGACCTAGGCAGGTGACAACCCCAAATTGAACATCATTGTCCACTTACCAATGCTGAGGAATAGCCGGTTTAAAGCAGAGCTTTAACCTAAAAAAATTAGTCAGCATTGGGAAAATAATGTGGGTCTGAGATGTGCCAAGCCCCAGGACCCTGGAGGGTCCCACCCCCAAATTGGAGCTCTCCGTTCCCGGCCTCCATACTATACAACCTCCCTGCCCGTCTCCGGATGTGGAAAGCTTTCCTGTCCGGGTCGTGTCATGGAAGCCACGCTCGTACCCATCCTGGCTCACGTGCTCTTGTCTGTTTTGCGTGCACCAAAAACTGCAAAGTTGGTTATTGCATTTCTATAAATGTCTGCCTTCTCTCTCACCCGTTCTCTCTCTACAACACTTTCCCGTTTGTATCAACACGGTCCAATACGACAACAACTTCGAACAATGGTAGCGTCTACCAGTCCTCCTCCCTCATCTGCATTCCTCGACACGCTCGCGAACAACAAGCGCATCCAGCCTGATAGCTGGTACCTGATCGCAGCCGCCGCTTCCGTAACTCTGGGCCGAGCTTCCAGCTGGCTTCCCGCAATCTACACACATGCATGTGCCCCCCTCGGTCCCGCTCCCTTGGAACCCTCTCCCGCACCGGAGAACGTGGCTGAAGATCCCCTCCCTCGCCGAAAGGTCGTTAGAAGGCTGAAAGAGGCGATTGTCAAAGGAACGATCCTGCACGGTGTGCCCACTGGCATCGGGGCGTCTATCGCACTCCACGCCGCCCTCGTACCGGGAGACAGGGACGACTCTTTTGTTCGAGAGGGATTTCACTTGGATGGGAAGAATGAGCAGAGGGGATATGAGGCGCTACACCGGATTTATAGAGATGAGATGCCTCTTGTTGGCGACCTCAAGACAGGGATGAGGGACGTGGAGTGGTTCAGCTACAACATCACCTACGGGGCGGTCCTCTCCCCTATCAGCGATACTAGCCCACGCGCACCCCTGAGCCTGAAGGAGACGGAGATGGTCATACTCAGCTGCTTGCTGGCGATGCGCGCTGATCTCGAGGTGAGGTGGCACCTGAGAGGTTGTCTTTGGGCTGGCTTGAAAGAGGAAGAGGTTGAGGCCGTCCAATGTATGGTCGAAGAGATCGCAAGAGAGTGCGCGGGGGTGGATTGTAAGACTGGAATGCCGAGGGTACACGATATGATCAAGGTGATGAAAGAAAGGGAGGCGGAGAAAGCTGCTGCTGCTGCGAAAGATTGAGATGTGCTTGTAAACTAATAGTTAGAGATTAACGCATTGCTTATTATTTTTTATTAATACACGTGTATCGGTCATAAGCAGTCGTCTCCATCGGATATAAGAATTTCTAGCAGAATTTTAATATCTGCCAGTGAGGACCCTTCTATTCCGAGTTTTGTGAGCGTCGTCGACTTCACTCTTCTCTTCATCGTCTCTTCATCCTAGGCAGCCCACAATGCATCGATGTCTCCTCTGCTCTGCACATGCTCGTCTTATTACAAGGCAGATGCACTCTTCTGTTGGCCGGCTTTCTTCATCCCCAGGAGCGATGGCAACGGCAGGAGCACCAACTGTCAACCCCCGAGCGGCCCACAAGCGAGCAGCGAGGGCAGCAATGCGTCCTCAAGTGATGCGAGAAGGCTCCCTGTTCGATCCTGGGCCAGATGTTGCGCATGAGAAATTGGAATTTGTGTTTCCAGCGTTTGAATCGGAGAATCCTGCTGAGGTCGCAGTCCCGCAAAGTGAAACAGACGCTGTCGTGCCTCATCCAACACCGTCGATCAACCCGACTCCTGAAGTGCTGGATGACACGTCCGAACCTCCGCCAGCAGAAGAACCCCCAGACGAATACGGCGGCGCCTCGGAAGCGGTGTATGAGAAACTGATTCACACACTCGGGGAGACAACGGTGAAGAATCTCCTTGCGCTGATGCCGAGCGACGTGGTCCGGGAGTTGTCGGAGATGTGCATATATGCGAGTTTAGACCAACTAATAGACTGTATGTTCAGTCCAGTTCTTTTTGTTCTTTGTGCTGCTTGACTTTTGTATGTTGAAGGGTGCCAGTACAATGTTTTTGGGTATTTGAGGGAGGAGCCCAAATCACTCGCACATGGGATGTTCACCCTCTCCACCCTGATCATCCCTACAACCGGAGGTATGTTATTCCCCTTTCTCTGCAGCATCAAAGTGTACCCATTCCTTGTCAGTCTCCACGAGTATTCGCCACCGCCTGCGCATGGCCGGGCGCATCGACATCAACAAGCTCTACACCGCCCAAACCAACTCCAAACCTCCGGTAAATGTACAGCTTTGGAACAATGCCAATGATGAAGACATCGCCGAGGAAGCAACTTCTCGCCTTGATATTGACTACTACAAGCTCCGCCTAGAACATGGGGATTATAAGGCCCAAATTGGGATGGCCTTCCTGGAGGAGACGGCCATTCGACAAAAACTGAAGGAAGGCAAGTATGTACAAGAGGATCTGGACGAGGCGAGGCAAAGGCTTGTGCATTACCTCGAAAGCGCGGTCGAACACAATTTCGCAGGAGCAGCGTTCAAGCTTGGGCAGCTGTACGAGGAAGGCATCGTTCTTCCACAGGATGCGGGGAAGATGGTTCATTTCTATGAACAAGCAATTGTGCTCGGTACGACTCGCTTGGCTTGATTTCTCTCGTAGATGCTGATTCTCTCAAGGCAATCTCGCGGGAGCAGTCCGTCTAGCTGAACTATACCAATCCAGAGGCAAATACCTGAGCAACGGCAACGTGCCCATCCTCCCACTCGACCGTGCGAAGGCGATCTTCTATCATGAGATTTCTGCTCGCCGCTTCGCTGCCTCTGCTGCCGCCGCTGGCATTGCCTACTTTCGCCGACCGTCGGCATCTTTCAGGGAACACACGCTCTCCTTCGGTGTAAAGCCAGACGATGCCAGAGCGGCATTCTACTTGGGCCTCGCGAGTGACCAAGGCAGCTGGGTCAGCCGTCGTCATTTGGCTGATATGCTCATCCTGGATCGCACGGACGTGCCGGAGGAAAAGAGAGACGACACAGCGCGTCGTCAGTCCAAACGCGTGCGACAATTGGAGTACGCTGTGAATCTACTAGAGAATATACCCGACGACAGCAACCGATCGAATGTGTCCTTCCTCGTCGGGCTGAAGCAAGCCCGCGAGCTGGCGAACACGCTACTGCAGAAGGCAATGGCCGGCGAGAGGGCAATGGACTTTGATCCTATGGAGCTTACGCAGTGGAGACCGTGGAGGTCATCAACACACGCCCTTAAGGTTCTCGCCAGGGAACAAAATAACCGACAGGGAAGAAACAAATACGAAGACCGCTTGACACCACCAGAAACACGCGATTTTCAAGTGATGATGGACAAAAGGCGGGATATGGAACTCAGTGACCTGCTGAGTCTAGTAAAGGAAAAGAACAGCGGAGCGAATGGGTCATGAGGGTCGGATTGGGGAGATGTGATCCTGATCCTGTGGTCAGAAGATGAACGGATTATGTACGCCACAGTTGAGCTTGACTCCTTACGAAACACCATACATTGCTCACCGACCTACGCTGTATCTTACTACAATGTATAAAGGAACATCTGTCAATTTCGACCCATGAAATCCGCACTCTCCAGCTCCCATATCGACCGTTCACCTTGACCCTCTCTGACCCGGTGAAGTCCCATGAAGCACCCATCTGTCTCACCGTCAGGGTTAACAAGAGCATCGTTGCGGGTCAGACGTGATGTAACATCGATCGTTCATTAGGACACGTTTCTTTCCACCCTTCGACATTCAAGACCGTGGTACTAGATGATGCAAGGGTATAAACGACACGACATCAGAGCAGGGCACGCCAGAATAGCAGACGCCCACAACAAGGCTCAAGATTTGTACGTAAAGTCAGTCCCGGGAAGGGGAAAAGAAATGGATAATGGATAATGGTGGAGGGGTTTAAGCTTTGGATTGCGGCGGGAAGAAGGGAAAGAGGGGGAGGGGGGTAGTACGTGGAAAGGGGAATGCGATGGATTTGTCAGGGACTGCGGCGAGATTTTGAGACCATTTACGTATGTCAGACAGAATCGGTGAAGAGTGAAGTCATTAGAGGAAGACAAGAGGATATGCCGGTCGCGAGCGTGCCGCGAGCATGCTGGACGGTGGTGTTCGTGAGATTGGAAACGAGAAGAGCATTCACAGTGTGTGAACAGGGGGCATTATCCCGACCGGTCAAATCGGAGGGAGGAACATTTGAGCAAAAGTGAAATCAGAGAAATGTCGTTAGAGGAGAATAAGTTGCAAGTCGTGAGTGTTATCGAGCGTTATCGTTCATTTGACGGGCACTTTTTGGGCCTTCTCCCGAAGAACCATAGGGTACTCGTTGACAAGATGTGCCAGACTTCTGAGGTCTTCCTGGTCCATCAAGGCGATTGCGATCTTGGCCGCGCTACGCATCCCGAAGCCCTTGAGGAGCTTATGAAGTTTCTCCCCCAGCTTCTGCTTGCGGTCCCAGTCGGCCTTTCCCTCCAGCGAGTCCATCCAGCTATCAGTACTGCGGATCACGTCCGCATCTACCTTGGGCAGAGGAAGGCCAGAGCTATTGGGTGTGCGGATGACGCGCATTATCTCCGCTGCTGGAAGCGCGGCGAGCGTTTCGAGCGTGTATGAGGGTTGTGCAGCGGGAGAAGGCGTAAGTGAGGAGACGATCGGCCTGGTAGGAGTCGGTGCGACCACCGGCTGGGGTGTGGTAGGTAAGGCCTTACCGTTTCCCTCCTCAGGTGGAGTGGCAGCGACAGGACCAGCATCGGCAAGGGAGTCCGTCTCCTCCCCATTCGCAGCGAGCACCACCTCCCTAGCCCCACTGACCTTACCCCGGAGGTACTCTGTGTTGAACGCGCACAGCGCGCGCTCCTTCTTAGTAAGTGTCATAAGCAGGTCGACCACCTCGTCCACTTCTGCCTCGGGCACACTGCCCAGCTCGGTAACTTTGAAATGGAGTTTCTCGCGCTCAGTCGTAGGTGTTTGGCCGGCGCTCGAGCCCCCTTGCGGCGCAGGTGTGAGTGGCTTGGTCGTCGCTTGTGCAGGGAGAGAGACTGGAGATGATGGGTGCTCCGGCGCAGAAGCGGACAAGCCAAGAGGAACACCCTGCGTCGGTGAAGGGCCTGGGCGCTGCGGCAGCATCTGCTCTGGAAGCTCGAGATGGGAAGGTGCTCTCTCCCGCTCGATCCCGTGCGACGGTGCATGCGGGGTCATACCTTCCTCTAGATATTCTTCCTCTGCCTGTGCCGCTTGAGCAGCCTCGCCCCGAACACGCGCAGTGAGTGCCTCGAGACCCTCCTTCGACCGCAGCCCTTCAACGATCACGTCCAGCGGCATACCAATGAGTGCCTCGATGACGCTCGGCGCTTCTTCGTCTGGAACGGGATTGTCGAGTTCCTTGAGCCTGCGTGAGAGTTCGCCATGCAAGACTTCCCTGCGCACCACAGGGGAGAGTGAGGACAGCTCGTCCTGGTGAAGAACAATATTGCCTTGAAGGGCAGCAGCGAAATAGCTCCCACTGCCTCGCCTCGGCCTTGGGGCCGGTGCCTCGGCTTGGATGCCCTCCTCTCCTCCGGTGCCATCCGAGTGCACCGGACTTGCTCCTCCGCTCGCACGTGCACCCCGCTTCCCCGAGAACCGCTCCCGTAGCTTTTCCTGACGCAGTGCCTTCGGCTCATGTAGGCGTACCACAATTTGCTTGTTGTTCAGCATGCTGCCGTCCATGATTTGGAGGGCTGTGGATGCTTCATCGGGCGTTTGGAACGACACAAAGCCGAAGCCTTTGGAGGTACCTTGGTCATTGCGCATCACGCGAGCGCTGCCCCACCATGAGTCCACCTTTTCACGCAACGAGCATTGAAAGATGACGCACCTGACTATTCTTCCAAACTGTTTGAATGCCTCAAAAAGCATATGGCTGTCCACGTCAAAGTCCAAGTTCTTGATAAAGAGGTTGCAGGGATCGATGAGGCCGCTCGAGCTTGTGCTGCCAGGTCCAGAGAGAGGAGCAAGCTGGATCTGCTGACCAGGGCCATGGACGAACACCTGTGACTGGACCCCGACAGGCGACTGAGGGTCGAACGATCCCAGCGGGGCGCGGGGGGAGGTGTACAGCGCCGAGCTGTACGGGCTTGTGGGTGTCTGTGGCCCACTGGAAAGGGAGGGTAGGCTTCCCATGCTGGGTGCTGGTGGAAACCCACCCATAGGCACACCCATAGGACCACTCACACTGCGCGGTACGAACGGGGGCGCGTTGACGTCTGGTCTGCCTGATCCAGCCGCGCGACGAGGATTGTACGGCTGAACAGCGACAGTATAGCCGCCCACGTCTGCACAGTGCACTGCCTGCTCGGCACGCTGGGCATGCTCCTCGCTCCAAAATTCGACAAGGCCCGTGTCCCGTCCGAAGGCCGTGTGCCGTCGGACGGAGACCAGAGGGCCGAAAGGACGGAAGAGCTCGAACAGGTCTGCGTCGCCCAAGTCGGGCGGGAGGTGCTTGACTAAACGTGCTACGGCCGTCGGAGTGGGAAGTGCGTTGGGTGATGGGAAAGCGTTGGGTGGAAATGGAGATAGGACGATGACTGATTGTGGTGGGAGGGAGGGAAGTGGACGTGCGGAGAGCGTGACAAGTGCCTTCTCTGCTGTTAATAGCGTCTTGAACTCGATTACACCTGTGAGAGATGAGAAAGTGAGATGTATGCAGGTAGATATATGCGCGCCTGTTCCCGATCCGTCCTTTGCTAGCCTGGGTTTGTAGGGGATACAGAACTCGAATATGGGAGCGATCTCTGCTTCTGCGTAGTTTGGAGGGAGGCCTGCAATGTATAGGATGGGTTGTTGAAGAAGAGGATGGGAGTCAAAGTAATCTGGTTGAGATTTGTCCATGGTGGTGGTTTAAGTAGAAGGAGGTGAGGAGGTGAGAAGAGAGAGAGGTGAGGTAAGGGTGAGTGAAGTGCGAATGAAAGAGGTGACGTTCACTCCCGAATTGGGATTGAGGCCGAAGCGACGCTGTGAGAGAGAACTGCGGTGAGTGGCGGCGGTTAAGCCGAAAAAGAGTGAAAATTGTGGGCGTGGTCACCTCACCTCTTTTACTCCTTTTCTTTCCTTTTCCTCCCTCATCTCTCCCTTTCTGGCTGTGCACATTCCCCCGTTTCACACTGATTCGTAAGTCTATGAATCTGTATAATAATCCCGCGTGAATATGACATTCTATATCCCATAAATCATCCTCTCAAGCTAGGCCGCAGGGGTCCACGCCTTCGCCTCTTGGACAGCAATGCACACCGATCGTTGCACCTCTCGCTGACAGTTCTGAGTTCCGAGTCTTGTGAACTATACCCGATCGTCTGCGAGCCGTCCACAAGCCATGCACATCGATGTTCCGTCCTCTTGCGATGTGCAGGCGTTCTTTCCGGGTTGGTCCTCGGATCCTGCCGATGGACCTGCCAAGGGCGTGACCTCCGAGTCTTCTGCCTGACTGGCGACCCTCTGCCCCTTGACCTCAATGGTCCAATAAGGCACAACAATTAGGTCGCGTTCGCCATGCATCTCCTCGTTTCCGTTCTCTCTCTCTTACCCCTTTGGGCACCATGGTCGGGGCCCCTCTTCGACCGCCCCGCACCCTCGCATCTCCCCTCCCGGTCCATCCGTTCCTCCATCCCCTTGCCCTTTCCCTTCACAATTTGGATTGTCACCTTCTCCCTGCCCTTCCTTTTCCATGTTTTGTGCTCATAGCACTGCCGTCGGTGGACGACATACCTCGTTGACTTATCATTTCAATCGTCCGGTCCCAAGCACGTCAGAACAGAATGAAGGAGTCCACTCGGGAAGCTGCTTACTAGGAAATGTCCTTAATACAGTAGGAACATACGTATGCTTCTTATATCAACACCGCATCCCGGGCAAGTGCACGCTTTCATAAGCGGTGCTGAAACTACTATACATTGCGCCCTCTCTCCAGTGGCCACCCTCACTTCTCTGAACTTCCTTCATTCCCCTTCGTCCGCCCATCAGGCCAATTATCCACCGGGGCTGCAACATCGAACCACCCGCTGTCCTCGCCTCTCCCTTGCGGCTCCGGAGCTTTCGTCTCTCCAGTCAAGGGCGGGGTTTCCGTATCCTCCTGCTGGCCACTGATGGTCTCACGCTGCTGAGCAGCCCACCGAAGAAGGGCAGACCCATCCCTGCCGGCAGATGTCTGCGAGGTTGTAACTTGTTCCCCGTCAGCATTCTCGGAGTGCGAATTCTCAAAGGCGATCTGCAGGGAACGAAGGCTGACCCCTTGCCTGTCCTTGTCTCGCAACTCATCCTGGGACAAGGCGAAGTCTTGGGAGATCTTTGCCCGCTCGCTGCTCGTCAAGGTAGAAGGAATGTTCTGCAGAGCGGCAGCCTTGCTCGAATCGGTCCACCAAGACTGCGGTGCATTACTTTTGTCGGAAATATTAGGCTCCATAGTGGTTTGAGTCGCTGGTGTATCCTTCAGACTCACACCAGCACGCACGGCCTTCAGCTGCGCCCAAAAATCTTCCATCACTACCTCTTCTGCATTTGTCATTCCCTTCTTTCGCTCCTTAGCCGTATCTTGGTTTATGGTTCGCTCTGCCTTCTCTCTCCGTTTCTTCATATTCTCTTCGTACAACTTCTTCGTCTTCGCCTTTCGGGCCAGCTTCTCCCTCCTGTCTCCAATCCGATGCCGGTTCAGGTCGTCCACCCAGATCGCCTTGTCTTCGTTTTCGAGCAATCCTGCGCCGCCAGCCTCAACCTCTTTCAACAGGTCTCTTGCGACACGGAGCATTGGGATGAGAAAGTTGAGTCTTGTGTTCCGTAAGAAATACACCGTCGTGCGCTTGTACCACTGCAGGTCGGGTAGCGCTGGCGAACCGGTGCCGATGTCCTCGGATGTTGAACCTGTGTAGATGTACTCGTGTTGCGGGGCAAAGAAGGGATGTGCCAAGGATTCCTCATCTTCGAATACGTCGACAGACTTAGTGTCCAGCCTTTCTTCCCGTGGCCGTAGGTGCTCGGGAACAGGAGGGGAGCCAGCTGGAATGGACATGTCCCAGTCATCCTCTTCCTGTGAGCTCGCCTCGGTCCATTCTCGATCGTTCCCCGCCTTCTGGTCTACAAGATCTACCGAAACCTTGTCGTCCTTATCGGACCTTTTCTCTCGGAGTGTTTCTTTCCCTGACCTTGGCCGCAAATGCTCCGGTAGCATCGCGATCGCCTCTTCCATTGCCTTTCTAATATACTCCTCCCTCTCCTGCCAAAGCGCATCCTCTACGTTGGTAGGGGTGCGTACTTTCTTTGCAGTCCCGGCCAAACTAGATTTGGTTGGAGAGCGGAAAGTGTATGCATGTTCGAACATGATGGAATCAGGCTGCATGAGAGGCGAGGCGCGCATTTCCATTGCATCCGGTCGCCGAGTATGCGGCTGGATGATGTGATCGCGGTGTACGATCCAACCAATAAGAGCTATAGCGGTGCGTAGTCTCCCCAGCCTGGGATTCGACCCTGGAATTGTGAGATCCTCCTCTGCGAAAGGCCCACGCGCCTCCGTCCGGTTCAGAATAAGCATTTCTGCCAGCTTCCAACTGGCATCCAACGAAAATGCCTCATGCGCAAGCCAAAAATATTTCGCCGCCTTCTTATCGTCCGGTATGTTGCGCCATTCGGCCATATGATTAGGGCGCATATGTCCAGGCTGGCGGTAGAAAAACCTTCCCGCTTGGTAGGCGGCATGCGCACTAGTAGGCGAGGCAATCTGGTAGTACAAGCGCGCCTTCCGGGGATTCCAGGTCAAGGGACGAGGCGTCTCTGCTTTGGGGCCCAGGATCCCGGCAGGCACAATTTTATCGTGGTGTTGGGCGAGTATGAGGGCAACGTCGAGCGCGCCAAGCGCGACAGCTTTGCGCAGACTCTCTTCGACCTTAATCGAATCTTGGGGGTAAATAATATCCTGCGTGTAAAGCCGAGCTATGAGGGGATAGACTTCGACCAGACCGAACTCTTTCGCCTTTTGGAGAGAGGATTCGATGTTCTTGGTGAATTCGGCACGCTTCATGACTTCAGATAGCTCATCGGCTCTGTCTGAGTGCAAAGAGTCGGCTATCATCCCCTGCATGAGGCGAGCAGAGTCGAGGATCCCGTAGGGATCGCCCTCCTCCGCCCGGAATCGATTCAATGCCATTGCCAGGTGAAGATCAGAGTAATTCCAGCGCTCTAACGCAAGATGAGAAATACTGATCAAAACGATTGGACATAACGATGCATACTGATGCCTTCGCGGGTTTCATATACCCTTCTCCAAGCTTCCACCAAGCACTTGTACAACACAGTTTTCAGCCTTTTCTCCCCTGCACTGTCGTCAGTCGCGGAAAGATATGGCTCGCTGAAATCTAAGTGCTCACAGATGTTAGTCCTTCCAACCGCAGTGTACAGATCCTTGAGCCTCAGCGGAAGCGACGATCCTGCACTGTCAGTCCGCTCGTCGAGCCATACACTCCTCGTGAACCCTGTCAATGTGAACATCCAACACCTTAGTTCAATCCGTGAAAACAAAAAGAAGGCCACTCACAGGATAACAGATGCCAATCGCCCACACCTGCCTTCAGCCTCATCCACAAGTCTAGAAGCTGCCCTGGCGTAAGGTACTGAAGCAAGCGGTCACGTGTTTCTGGCCCAAGCGAATAGAATGCTTCATTTTGCAAGGCGCGGAGCGCGTCCTCCTCTCCGCTGTGGCGCAGGAGGCGAAGGTGCCTATCAGCAAATTCGGATAGGGCTAAAACCTCAGTAGGAGGCAGGATAGGAGGGGGTGAAGGTTCAGAGGTCAGCGTATCGGGGACAATGGGATCGGAGAGCGACGCGGGCGAAATGGAGCGAGACTCTGGGCGGCTAGCCGCAAAGTGATCGTGTGAGCGAGCAAGCTTTTTCGGGAATAACCCCACATGTTTGCGATCGTGTTCCCGTCTATAGGCTTCATAGGCGGGTGTGACATGCTCGAGAAGGGATGTGGAAGGCCTTCGAGGTTCATGATCGATTGCCTTCTCCGCTCCAAGCCCTTCTACCTGCCCCGTGGAACCATGGCCCTTTTTACTCCCCTCTGACGCTGATATGGGCGAATCAGTGGAGCTGAGCATCCGGGAGAGCAGCCGGAGAGACAGATTCGACCTTTCTTCGTTCTTGTGTCGGTCCCCTTCCTCTCCGCTAATGGTATTGTTCCTCTGCCCCGCCAGATCGGTCTTCCATCCATCCCGCGGTTCCTCCTTGTGCGCTGCTGGGTAGACTCCCACCTTCCGATGAGCAATGGATCCCCTATCCTCTGTATCCAATATTCGACGAAGGTATTGATATTTCTGGACGTGGATAGTCTTAGAGGGAAACTTGCGCGTTGAGGGAATCACGAGCTTTGGCGGTCTAAAATACTCTTCATCGGCTGATGCGAGTGAAGAAACATCACGGGGAGAAGGACCATTCTCGAACCGCTTGTGTCGGCGTTTGCGGGAACTCTTTGGTGTCCCGCTCGCTAGAGGGCTGGTTGTCAGCGGCGCTGGGGGGAAAGCTTCGTCGGGAGATACATCGGTGGTTAATTGTCGTCTGCTCGTGCTTGGTGCGCAGGTGTCACCTCGGCATCCGGAAAGTCCAAACTGAGAGCATATCCCAGTTCGAGACGAGAATCCAGGGAAAACTGTATGATATGAAGAGGATGAAGCAATGAGGACGCGCCTCATCTGCGGAAGATGAGTCCAGTTCGCGCCTTACGGTGTCAAGGAAGAATTTGGGAGCGTCAGGGTCCAGCTTTTTCTCCGGACCCTTCGGCTCCGTAGGTTCCCAATCACTGCCGATCAGGGCGCTTCTCACGTGACGTAATCCCCAGGTACGGACCGGCCCTTGACCGGACTGGAAAAGAGGCTCAACCCTTGTCTTCCCCCCGGACCGATGCTATACCACCGAAGCGGGGGACAAGGGTCCCGTGTGCTACCATGTTTGACTGCACGCTGCTTGGCCGGAACGGGTGGTTATTCATTATAACATCGCAGTGGCCGAGCGACTGCTTTGCTGGAACCTACCCTCTCACAAGTTGGCAACCTCCGACACTGTAAGAACTACCATCATGGCCTTCGAACCCGCCTTTGCAAACCTCGAAAGTGTGACTGGCGAGGAGCCCATTAGGCTCAGGTACTACGACTCCCAACCAGGTAGGAAAGATGGCGTGTACACTACTGTCATCGTTGTCCACGGGAACGGCTACAATGGCGGTGCGTCCTTCCTCTTCCTCCATTTTGACCCCATTCGTTCATATCCCACAGCCATCTGGAAACCCTGGGCCCCGACTCTTCCCACAGACGTTCGTCTCATCGCTTACTGCCGTCGAGGGTACCAGGACTCGTCCCCGATCTACAACCCTCCGGAGCCCGTCCCTGGGCAGGTCGCCGGTAGGGGAATCGTAGACGTGATGGGCATGGTCAAGCACTGTGTTGAAGTGCTCGGGGTGCCAGCATTCGATGAAGCTACAGGCAAGGGGGGTATTGCGCTCATGGGGTGGTAAGCTGCTCGACTTCCAAGACAAGAGGGTTGTTGATGCTCTGAGAAGGTCGCGCGGCTGCGTGCTCATGGTCGGTCTGATGGACCTTTACCCCACCCTCCCCTCCACAGGGAGCAAGTTCGGACTTCCCTCATCCCTCCCTACGCTCACGCCCTCGATCAAGTCCCACCTGCGCACCGTGCTGCACTACGAACCCCCTCTTCAAGCCGTTGGCATCCCACCAGGCGAGCTTCCCGCAATGAAAGTACCCGTTTCAGAACAGGGCCGTGTCTTCGGCCAGTGGATGAAGAATACTGTACCGGAGCATGCAAGGCCCGTGCTGGACGAGGCATTCCAGGCCGAGAACGTCCCTGTGGATACTGCCATGATACTCGTTGGCCAAGGAGACTGGTCTGCGGCGGCAGAGATCGCGAAGAAGGCCCTTAACCCAATTCCCGAGGGGCTCCATGTGGGCTTGCTGTACGGTGCGTTTCCGTCCCAAAAATTGAGGGAGCCAGTTCTAACGGGTACCCTGTGATCCAGGCACGAAATCTCTTGATTATGTGTACGACGCGGTAGACGCGTACAAACAGCTGTTGTGGAATCAGCCTCGTACGGGCTCGCTCTCCATGGAAGGCACGGGACACTTTGCGATGGCCTCTCACCCCGAGTTGTTGACGAAGACGGTTGTGGAGCTGTTGGATACGCTCTGAGGACTGAGGAGGAAGTGGATTGGAATAAGTGTAACAGGTTTGAATGTGTAGGAGTTCAGATGATAATCTAGAGATCAAATTGCTTGCCTCCCACACAGGACGGAGCTAAATCCCAATGCTCGGCGGAGCGATGACCATCAATATTCGAACACGGTGACGTCACTCTATGCACGTGAGCTCCAACTCAATAACTCTCCAATTTCCGACGTCATTGCCCTCTCCAAATGAAGAGGAATAAATACCGCCCTCAAGTCGCTCTCAGATTTCTTCCTACAACATCCACCCAACACCTCAAATTCGTACCATAAACCATGTTTACACGCAACTTGCACACTCTGCCGCGTCAGGCTAGGCTCTTGAGCACTTCTTCTGCAGTGAGGACAGAGACCCTAGCAGGGAAAATTAAAGAGAATATTCATGCCGTATGTCCTACTACCCTCCCGCCAATTCCGAGCTCACACCGACCTCTCCCAGGTGGACAAAGCAGCCGGCCGCACACTCGCCTCGGGCATAGAACAGGTGCAAGCCGCCACAGAAACTGTCAAAGAAGTGCTAGGACAGGCGGGCCAGAAGGTGGAGGAAAAGGCGAAGGAGAAAAAGGAGGATACGGCACAGGGGGTGGAGAAGTTGAAGGAGATGGAACGGGAAAAGAGGGAGGAAGTCCACAGGCGGACGTAGAACCATGAAAGAGAGCGCCGATGTATTGGCCTTTCGCAACAATTTGTAATTGCCGTATTATGACCTAATTCCGCACCTCCGGCCTGGTTTAGCCAAGCCGGAGGCCTATGTGGCTAAATACCAGTTCTGAGTGGTATTTACAGCACCAGTCCATTACCCTGATGCGAGTACCCAAAGGGCCACACAACCGAGCGTCACCACACCCGCCGTGACACTTCCCATTTCAAGCAACGTAAGTCGGTACTCCCTCACCATCTTCCTACCGCCCTCAAAATCGGGCACTATGGTCTCCAATTCCTTCACCCTGGGCTCAAGCTCAGGGTGCTCCGCGTCTCGGGGGCGATAGAGCGTCTTTCTCATCCCAAGGTTGAATCGTGTGAGCCGACAAACAGCTTCTTTCACCAGACTGACACGCCGTTGTTCCCAGTCTTTGCGTGGATAAATTTCGCCGAATCGTTTCGGGTAATGGGAGACGAACAAATATATTTTCAGGCGAAGCGCTTCATACGTGGTTGTTGGATCGACTCCGAGGTAGTCAGACAGCTTCGGGCCCAGCAGGAATCGGGTCAGCGCCATATGGTACGCCAACCTGGTGCGGAAGGGAGGTCGCTCACTGATTGCCTTCAGTATCGGAATTGTTGGAGGCCGGGGCGAGTTCAAGTCCTGTTCCGAGAAGTCGAGGAGGTGGATTACGCAGCTCGCCAGGAACTTCGTTGCTTGTTTCGGGCTTGCGAAATGTTGACTGAGAATGTCAGGTGCGACACTGAGGTGGTACCCCACGACTCGCCACAAGGCGATGAAGTCTTCCTCCTCTTGTTTACTCACCCGACATCCCATCTGTTTTATGCATACAAGCGGGGCGATGGAAAAAGATGCCAGTGTCGCCGCAAGATCTTCTTGGTTGATGGGTAGGCCGTCCCGTGTGATGTCGTATTTCCCCATTTGTGCAGCACGGGCAAGGATGCGCCCCCTGACAGTGGCATGCAGCAAACGGACACGTAACGAAGATTTCCATACTTCTGCGTCGGGGAGCATACAATGCTCGTGCACTTTCTCTTGGTTGAGTTCGGCGAGAGAAGATGCATGCTGGTGCATGAGGGGCGAAGATGGCGCTCCCATGACTTCGAGAACGAACTGGGCCGTTTCGTTTAACCGCGAGAAAGTGCGGTCGCTCGACACTCTAGTGACTGTCTCGTCGTTTAGCAATCCCGATTTCATGCTAGGCGGTGTAAGATACGAGGATAGACTGAGGACGCGGGTGATCCGGGGGGAAGAGAAACCCCCAGCTAGGCTGAAATGCAGGAGACTGCTCATGATGGGTACTGCATTGCTCCAAAAAAAAATCCTGGGCGCGGATGATTTGGGCTGTCGAGGCGTCGATGGATACTGGAACAGGTTCGCGTACAGCTGCCAAGAACACTGAGGCTGACCCTCCCATATCGCCCTCCTCAACAGCTGTAGATTCCAATGCTGCCAGCAAGTCCACTCCTGATGAAGCGAAGGGGGAAGGAAATATAGCGTCTAGGGCAGCATCGGCTAGGTCGTCTCCTCGAGATCGCCAACTTGCATATGGATGAGTTACTCATGCAGGCAACGGGGATGCATTCGTACCCTTCCAGTGTTGACGCCTTTACGCAATCCTCGTCCCACTGAAATATCCTGTCAAGAATTTCAACCACATCTCCCTTGCCCACTTCTTCAGTCTGTGATGCCTTGATAATGTGGATGACGGGTCCTTCTGTAACTGTATAACTGAATTCACCCAGGAGGAAGGGCACCATGGGAGGTCGTCGATGTGTCGCAAAAGGCGAACACACTTATCCCCAATGTATCGCAGCTACTTTCAAGAGATCCGGATCCCATGGGAAGACGTGAGTCAGCAGCATTATAGACATGGTTGTTGTTGTTGATAACTTGTGGCGCACGTTGCTTTTACCAAGTCCACGTAGTGGCTAAAATCAATGCCGTAAATAGATTACCATTCGGCCATGGATAAAGCTGATCACTCCACTCAGCATATTTTGTCTCTCTTCTCCGCACTCTGACTTGTCGGATGGCTACAAATGTGTTCCTCGACATTGGCATAGGTAATAAGGCCGCCTATGCTGCTACAATCAGAGACTATGAAGACGCGCAAGGCTGGATCGCTCGAAACGGCCCAAAGTATTCTTTGCCTTCCTCGCTTGAAGAGCTCGACGACGTTCAACGAGAAGCTCTGTCGGAGATATATGTACGGTTTCTCTAACTATCAACTTATTAATTTATTGAATAGTGATCAAGCCAGGAGAGATACCGTACGAAAAACCGGTCTCGCTGATCGTTGGTCGGATTATCATTGAACTTGACCCGTCATCCGGATTGCAGAAAACACGCGACAACTTCATCACCCTGTGCAAGGGAGATCGGGGCGTGTGCAAGAATGCTCCTAACAAGAAGCTGCATTATCTTGGAACACCAATTCATCGGATCGTTAAAGACTTCATCGCTCAAGGAGGCGATGTCACTAGAGGTGACGGTTCTGGTGGGGAAGTGTGTTTGATACCTATTGCACTTACACAGGATACTGAAGCACGTCATTTTACTAGTCCATCTACGGTGGCAAGTTCAACGACGAGAAGCCTGGTCTGAAAGCTAAGCCCGGCAGAGGAAGCATTGCTATGGCCAATGCCGGAAAAAACAGCAACACGAGCCAGTTCTTTTTCGTTCTTGCGACGGATCCAGCCCAATTGAAGAAGATCGAAGGCAAATATGTCGTTTTTGGCAGTGTCGTCGCCGGCCAGGACGTTCTCCAGAAGCTGAACGACATTGGGACGAAGGACGGGGGTACGATGTCTGAGGTTTGGATAGAGAACTGCGGTGTAGTTTGACGGATAGGTCCATAATTATGGAGCAGACTGAAGGACGGGATAAATCAATCGGCGTGGGCATTCAGAGTAATAAAGTCGCGGAGGAGCCGCTAACTCCGTTCATAAGCACCTCAACCTTCGAGACTTGTCGATCGGCAAACCGGAGAACATGGCCTGCGGTTTAGATTTCTCATGGGCAGCAACTCGGCGCTACCTGCCGAGTGGCCTGTTCTCTTCTATCGATTGGGTGGAGGTTACTCCTATTAGTAAGTATCATATGAATGCGTGCCAAATATTCCCGCGCCTTATTTATTTAATTTGATCTACAAGATCGGCACGATGCGACGAGCATTGTACCGAAACTGAACTCATTGTCTTCTGTTCGGCCGGTCGACCCGCGAAAGCTTGAAACTGAGCTGGCTCCTGTGGAGATTAAACACGAAATGGCTCTTTTTCCAGACGGCAATCAAATCCACGTTCAACGTCATTCTTTGTTAGTGATCTCTGCCTTGTGCACGGACCTCTAATATAAGACTTCATCCAAAGCTTCGGGCCTTTGATCAAAGTCAACTCCCAGAATGGCTTCCTCTCTGCTTCTTCTCCGCCCAAGACCCCGCATAGATGTCTTCTTTCTCCACGGGTTCTTCTGTGGAGTAACAGCTCGGGCCGAGAGGAACGTATCTCTAGCTCAAGCATGATAAGAAGCGAACGCGGGGTAGGCCACCTAGCACGGCCATGTATCCGTTCTAAACCTGCGGACTTGCCTCCCTTCGGGCAACCTCTTCACCATGTCGACCTTCCTGACTGGAAATCCACATCTGAAGGGCTATACTCTCTCCAGGCTCATCGGCTTCACGTGTTCTGTCGCATTTATCCTTTTCGGATATAGTATGATTGTTTAACTGGCCCCATGCTCGGAACTCATTATGCGAAGAACAAGGCGTAATGGGAGGTGTGATCACAGGACCACAGTTCACGCAACGCTTCCCATCGATTGACACAACGAGTGGACATGGAAACGCACAGCTACAGGGTTTCACTCTGGGAATCTACAATATAGGCTGCTGGGCGGGTTCCTTGCTTACAATGGTAATCGGAGAACCACTAGGCCGTAAGAGGACTATCATTGTCGGGGCCATCATCCTGGCTACCGGCACAATTATACAATGCGCTTCGTATTCCCTGGCTCAGCTTCTGGTTGGTCCTGCATATACTGTTGTTGCACTCTGGGCTCGCTGAATCTTTTGCTAGGTTGGTCGAATAATTACTGGCACCGGAAATGGGATTATCACGTCATCTATCCCGGTGTGGCATGCCGAACTCAGCAAAGCAAAGTCACGGGGAAAGCTCATTACTACAGAGCTTTCTACCAATGTTGTGCGTGACCCTTCCTATGAACTTTGGTCTATTCACCCAGCACCTCCCTTTTAGGGCGGCGTAAGTGTGATCTTGCAGCAAAGGTGCTCACAGCTAAAACTTCATCCAGGTATCTGTGGCCTACTGGGTGGACTATGGGATGTCATTTGTGAACAATGAAGCAGCCTGGCGATTTCCCATCGCTCTTCAAGTCTTCTGCGCCGTATCTACGATTGTTTTCATCCTGTTTCTACCCGACACCCCACGTTGGCTGCTAAAGCAAGGACGGCACTCTGAGGCTCGGGATGTGCTTAACCGTCTTTTCATACATGATCCCGATGGGGCAGCAGACAGGGAGACTCTTGAAATTGAAGCAGCTCTAGCAGAAGAACGACTTGCACAGGAGCAACTTGGTAATAAAGGACCCATTCGAACTATTTTCACGAATGGCACGCAGCGTTTCTTCCATCGCACGATGCTTGGAGTGTGGGGAATGATCATGAATCAGCTGACCGGTATTAATCTCATAACGTAAGACTGCTATTCCAACTACATTGACAGAACTCTCGTTGATTTGGTGGGCCAGATATTATGCGCCTTTCATCTTCATTAAAAGCGTGGGTTTCTCCCAGAAGCTTTCTTCGCTTATGTCGGGTTTCCTCAGCTTGGAGTATTATCTTTCGACCCTCATCCCCATCTTCATCATCGACAAGGTGGGTCGGCGACCACTGCTATTATGGGGACTGGTCGGCATGAGCATCTGCATGTTCATTCTTGCGGGCACCACCTCTGTGGTCGACTTCGGCCCGGGCATTGTGACAACTGTGGCACTCTTCGTCTACGACTTCTGGTTCGGGATCGGCTGGATCCCCGGCCCATGGCTCCTCGCTTCGGAGTGTGCACCTCTGACCACCAGAAGCCAGTCAGCAGCATTCGCTACTTCGGCTACTTGGATCTTCACATTTCTGGTGGCGGAAATCACCCCCGTCGCGATTACCAACATAGGATGCGAGTCGTTTATTTGAATAATCCGGGTTGGACTGCTGACTATGTCTCACATCGTACATACATCATTTTCGGAGTGTTGAATGCCGCATGGTGGCCCATCGTTTATTTGCTTTACCCAGAGGTGTGCACCCGCTTCTTCGTCATGAAGCAGCCGTCGCCTCATGATACCTTAGACCAAGGGAAAATCTCTCCTGCAGATTGATTTGTTGTTCACCGGGCCAAAGGTTCTCTTAGATATCTCCGAGGAGGATATCAGGGCCATGCAGAAACGCCAGATTGAGCACGTCATTCAAGAACACTTGGTTGACAAGGAAGAGGAGAAAGCAGGGGGTCAACACATTGAGACGGTGTAAGAATGGTGGTGTTCAGGTCCAACTAAAGGGAGTCTTCCTAAGATGAATACTTTCGCATCAGATACTGTTGAACAATTCGGAACGAGCAAATTATAGGCCGAGCATCGAGCGAGGCATTTGATCATCTGGGTAATGACTAGGTCCAAACCGTCGAATGAGGTCGAATATTGGGTGTGCGGTGCCACGGTGCTGCCATGCAAAATCCAGACCCTATGTCGTTATTCCTCTGATGTCTAAGTTCAGAATTCTGATGAGGATGTGCTCGAAGCGGTGTTGCATGACTCGAGATCCGCATATCCGATTCAGCGTATTGCAAGACGTATCACAGGTAGGTGTGCTTGGAAGTGATAATGGACGAAAGACGACGCTGTCAGCCACTCGGCACATCGGTTGGGTAAATCGGGAACCTGTGATGGAATACTGTGAGGTTTCGTCAACAGCTAAGACCCTTCTGCCGAGCCGACTGCAGCGGACGAGGGCTGATGAGCACCAAACGAATTTAGCGTTCGATTAAGCCAATGGTAAAGAGCTGGCCAGAGAATTCATCTGGGACCGGGAATGTATCGACGATGTAGATAGAAGTGAAGCTATGAGAGAGACATGCCAGGGCTGAGAGAGATGAACTGACAAATGGTCAACGGTGGTGACGGGGTACAAGCGCAAACCCGAGGTGAAGAACAAGCTGTGTGGAACCGAACTGTGGCAGCGTTACGGACAGTTTGGCGTGGTTGAAACGCGCCAGGCTTCTGCACCGCCCACGCGCAACCGTCTGTCGATACCCGTCCACCTATTAGAACCAAACACGGTCCTTTGACCCTGAACACCCAGTTCCTTTGCCTTTGACAGCTCCCAAGAAAGACGCCCCCATCACCGCTCAACCCTTTCAAAAGTCATACAAATACTCCTCTTCACCACCTATACTCCCTCTCTCACTTCCCTTCACCCACTTCCTTGCCTTTGACACGCCATGTGTGGCATCTTCACTTACTGCAACTTCCTCGTCGAGAAGGTACGTGTTGGCCACGTTGACAACGCACGGAGACGCGTGCAACAGGCGCTTACATCGCATTCCAGGACCGCAGGGCGATCTGCGACATCCTTGTCAATGCCCTCCAGCGTCTGGAGTACCGTGGCTACGACAGCGCAGGTACGCTTGCGTTAGGCTTATTTGTGCGCGCATATATGCTCAATAAATGACACAGGTATTGGCATTGACGGCGACCACGAGGGTGAGGTCCTCCTCTTCAAGCAGGTCGGCAAGGTTGCTGCTCTTCGCCAGCTCATCGATTCTTCCAACGTCGATTTCACCAAGACCTTCTTTGCCCAATGCTCCATCGCCCACACCCGTTGGGCAACGCACGGTCAACCTTCCCCCATTAACTGCCACCCTCTCCGCTCTGACAAGAAGTGCGTTCTTGAAACCAACCCATATGCCCCTGTATTGATAAGACACCTAGCAATGAGTTCATCGTCGTTCACAACGGTATCGTGACAAACTCGCCCGAACTGCGTCAAGTCCTCCAGAAGCGTGGTTATGTCTTCGAGTCCGAGACCGATACCGAGGCTGTCGCTGTCCTCTGCAAGTATATCTGGGATTCGCAGCCATCTCAACGCCTTACCTTCACCACCCTCGTTAAGGCCGTGATCAAAGAGCTCGAGGGTTCCTTCGCTTTCGTATTCAAGTCCATCCACTTCCCCAACGAGGTCGTCACAGCTCGTCGCGGTTCTCCCCTGCTAATCGGTGTCAAGACCGATAAGAAGCTGAAAGTTGACTTCGTCGATGTTGAGCTCACACAGGATCAAGAGAAATTCGGCAGCACCGCTGCTACTGCTACACCCGTCGCCCCAACCGCCAATGGCATGCTTGCACCACCCACGATGGCGCAGTCCAAGATTGAACGTCAGCAATCGCGTGCCTTCCTTTCGGACGATGGCATGCCTCAGCCCATTGAGTTCTTCATCGCGTCCGATGCCTCTGCCGTCATCGAACACACGAAGCGCGTACTTTACCTCGAGGATGATGACATTGCCCACATTGCGGAGGGCGAACTCCACATCCACCGCCTACGTAGGGATGACAATATTTCTGCAGTGCGCGCCATCGAGACACTGGAGATTGAACTGGCAGAAATCATGAAGGGCAAGTTCGATCACTTCATGCAGAAAGAGATTTACGAGCAACCCGAATCCGTTGTCAACACCATGAGAGGCCGCGTCAATTTCGACACACGCAAAATTACCTTGGGTGGCCTTAGAAGCTACCTGAACGTCATCCGGCGATGCAGACGCATTGTATTCTGCGCTTGCGGTACTAGCTACCATTCTTGCATTGCCGTAAGTCACTGAGTTACCTCGAATTATTCACATTCCTCATACGCTCCCCACAGACTCGTGCGATATTCGAGGAATTGACCGAAATTCCTGTTTCCGTGGAGCTGGCTTCCGACTTCCTCGACCGCAAGACACCTATCTTCCGTGATGATGTCTGCGTCTTCGTATCCCAGTCTGGCGAAACCGCAGATACTATTCTTGCCATGAGGTATTGTTTGGAACGTGGTGCATTATGCGTTGGTGTCGTCAACACCGTTGGGTCGACAATTTCTCGCGAGAGCCACTGTGGTATCCACATCAATGCTGGCCCTGAAATTGGTGTCGCCTCCACCAAGGCATACACCTCCCAGTATATCGCTCTCATCATGATGGCCATCCAGCTCTCCGAGGACCGGATTTCCCTCACCCAGCGCCGCAACCAGATCATCGATGGTTTGCATGAGCTTCCTGGCCAAATCCAGAAGGTTCTGGCAAGCGACCATTTGCTGCAGGTGTTCGCCAAGGAGACGCTCGCAAATTCGCGAAGTCTGTTGATCATGGGTAGGGGCTTCCAGTATGCGACTTGCCTTGAAGGTGCTCTGAAGATTAAGGAGATCAGCTATATGCATAGCGAGGGTATTCTCGCTGGTGAACTCAAGCACGGTCCACTGGCACTGATTGACGAAAATATGCCGGTCATCATCATCATGACTCGTGACTCCCTCTACCCGAAGGTTCAGTCTGCCCTTGCTCAGGTCACAGCACGGAAAGGTCAACCCATTATCATCTGTAATGACGATGACGATAGCATCAACCCGAAGATGAAGACCATCCGGGTCCCTCGCACAGTGGATTGCCTCCAGGGTCTGTTGAACATAATTCCTCTGCAGCTCCTTTCTTATCACCTCGCAATTCTGAATGGCTTCGACGTCGATTTCCCAAGGAACTTGTGAGTAGCACTTTTGTTCAACCTATCATGAATGCTTGTTGACTGTATTCCTAGGGCAAAGTCGGTCACGACCGAGTAATGTCCCTTTTCTGCTCAGAGACTTTCCCCTTTTTTGCTTTTGCTGCCAGCTGCGGACCTAATGCTATTTCCTCTGTTCTGTGTTATTCTGCATATGGATGTGATTCGTACATTGTTAGATGATCCGGACAATACAACGCGCACATCAAATGAAATGCGTAAAGCCATGTTTGGAATAACAAGTGCGCCTAGTTTCGGAGGAACTGATGTGGTTAGAAATACACAAGACCTTCTGGACAAAGGTTTATATCAAAACCCACTCCCCTTCTCCAATTCGACACACTTTCTCACCCTGCTCCAAGAGTTCTAGCGTCTTCTCTATATCCCAAAGGCCCAGATGCTCCCATCGTACGTCACGATGAAGTCGAGAGAGGATATCAGAGACGGAAACACCACCTTTCTTCACTTTTCTCTGAAAGCAATGCTTGAAAGCTTCCATGACTGAGGATTTTAGAAACAGCGGTGTGACCGGCAAATATGATTCTTCATTATTTGGTGGCGGAGAAGTAGGAGATTCCAAGGCCTGAAATGCACATGTGTCCTTGACGCTGCTTGCGTTGGTGATTATGGATGCTTGTGTCAGTGTTTCTGATGACCACAGTGTGGGAATATTGACATTGACATCAAGCAACGTGCTTGGTTGCACGATACCTAGAACGATGGCACCCTCTTGTCTGAGTTTCTGAACAGCGAACTGAAACAATCGTTTCGCCTTCCGTGCTTCGTCTTCCGGTGTTCGTTTCGGGGATCTGACTCCACAAGCGCTGCAGGTGCTAGCTTGTTTTTTGACCTCACGTCGATATGCCTCAGCTCTCACGATTCGCCAAGCGAGTTGTGCAAGAGGAGGGATTTGCCTCAGTTGCCATAAGGTGATACCAGATGGTTCCCTTGGTCGTGCAGCCGTGTTTGGGACATTTTGGCGTGATGGCGGGACATTATATCGTAGAACGTGTCGATTCGGACTCGGAGTAGCAGAACGCAATTGACGCTTCGGTGTCGCGTCATGGTCACTTGAAAATGCCTTAGTGGGTGTGCGAAATGGATCTTCAACATCACAACTTGTAAGTACACGTGACTCGTATGCCTTCTTGATGCATTCACTGAGATAAAGAACGAACGTGTCCTTCGTGAGATGCTTTGAATGCAGCCTCGAGGGATGTCGAAGCTTTCCCGGAGACTAAATCATGTTCATATTGTGCGGATCTCACAGCCCATCACTCACCTTCTGCGGGCTCGATGCGTTGCTTGAAGGTGCAACTGAGGGACCTACTGTTGGACGATGTCGGCTTCTCGTACGTTTTGGCGTCTGCACTTCGCCTGAAAGAAAGTCGGGAATTGTAAATGGATCGCTGTATAGAGTTGTTCGGAGCCGTTCGGCATGAATCCAGTGCTGCGGTTCCTCAGAAGGATCATCAAGTACCGCTAGCAACATTGAGTCATGGGCAAATATCCTTCGACAGGTTTACTCACCGAGACTGCCAATATCTATCTGTCGTATGTTGATCTGTTTCCACGAAATTTCGACTATTTTCCCAATGCATCGAACGGTATCACCAACGTTGGCATCATCAATGGTAGCAAAAGGATAACGGTGAATACAATCAATAACACCAGTTCCGTCATCCACTGGTTCCCGTCAGTCATAGTGAGCTTTGGATACGACAGGCAGACGCACAAGAATATACAGTCTTTCTTTCTTTCTCTTGCTTTCCCACAACTATTCCAACCATATGGGAGGATCTACAGGGGTAGGTGCCGAGCTGGAAGTACCCTGGATGCCTGCTGTCAGATTCGGAAATCAGCTCAGTGAGTCTCTCACTTACCATTGAAGGCCGGCATCTGAAGAATGTCCACAATCAGACATATGGGTACAGCATCTTCCCTGTATATCCAGCTAAGAATCTGTTCGGACGTGTATGTGGGTTTTGCTGACTCCAGTTGCGGGTTGGGGACCATGGGAGCTGAAGGAGAAGTCACGTCCCTGAGCCTGTCACGTGCGTAACTTTTTACTCGTTGACACCGCCACGCAAGGGAATACGGCCAAACAATTAATGATCGAGACGAATATTACCCTTGACCAGTTCTCAACGAATTCTGGTCATATTGTTGAATCTATCCCATTGCCTCTGAACCTGATAAGCTCCCCGGATACATTATTTTGGCGGCTGAACCTTTCCAGACTGGGGAAGAAAGGCTCATCTGAAGGCTGTGCTTCCAGTTGCCCACATTGCATTGCCTAATCAGCCAATCGCCGAACCGGACCATGAGGTTGAGCGCCGCGATGTACATATTGATTTGGCCGGGAACAGCGTGTGTGCTGTCGGCCCCAGCAAAGGCAATGCCAAGCATGCTGAGTTCCTGACATTCACGACCCCTTCCCAATGACAATGGTCGAGTCCCCCTGAACCCCTTGGACTTCAACGACCATGTCCCAAGTGAGCAACGCTTGCGTTATATCCCAGTATTATGCTGATGGGACATTCCTCAGCCCGCATATTACGCGCCGCAATTACAGTATCCTGCGCCCCTGTATCACCAACATTGTGAGAAAGGCTGGAACAGTTGATAAAGGCTATTCTGACGAACATCGATAGCCGGTTACTATAGACCGCCAGTGTATGCTCAACCAGCTCCCCAGGTGAGCTGTGTTCACATATCAAGTAGAAATAGCACGATGATTTGCCAAGGTCATGTATATGGCTTCTCCGCAGCAGCACCTTCCGGGTTACCCCCATCACAGTTACCCTCGTCGGAGAGGGGCCTGCGACGATTGCTGTGGGGCTTGTGATTGGTGTGCCCCTTCCTGTATGATGTGATGAACTTGCTGTCTGACTGGAACTCAGCCTGGCCATCCTGTGTGCTTGCTTGTTCTGTTGTGAATGTGCACAGTGCTGTGACTACTGCTGTTGATCTCCCTCTGTCACATGTATCTTACGATTTTAGGACTCTAATGAGGATCTCAGACACGGCACCATTGCTGCAGGACCCAAGAAGCAAGTCCTTGAATTCTAATAATAATACACGACCAGCCAACGAGCGAGTGGTATATACAACAGCCAAGCTCTGATAGTTCAGGATGGGACGACCTTGTACATGTGCAACAGAAAGAGATGATAAGAACATACGCGTCTAGAGTGTGCCAATTGTTGGATTAAAGGATAGGATCTCGTCGTACAACATCTTCTTCAGCTCTTCACGACTGATATCATCCTTGTGCAAATCGAATTCGAAAAATTCAGGCTCCAAAGGGGGGGCGACGGGCTCGTCGTCGGGATCATGCTACAAAAGCAGTCAGGAAGCAATCCTCACGGGTCACAGAACTTTGCTCACGTAAGCCTCTAGATACGGATGGGCTAAGGCTGCCTCCACTGTCATCCGCTTCTTCGGGTCGAAGGTGAGGGTGCGGGTGAGGAAGTCAACAGCCAATGGGCTCGCGTTGGGGAACAAGCTAGCAAACGACTTCTTCTTCCGGAAGGGAAGAGCACGAAGATAATCCCGTGACCGCCGAGTGCTTATATTGTAAAATTCCTCGATGGTGGGCGTACCCAGGACATCAAGGATGAGGCTGAGCTGATGGTGATAGTCACGACCAGGGAAGAGTGGCTTCCCGGATAGCATCTCCGCGAGAATGCAGCCAACCGACCAGATGTCAATCGCCTTGGTATATTGCTTGAAGGTAAGCATGATTTCAGGTGCGCGATACCATCGGGTGGCAACGTATTCGGTCATGAAGCCGGTCTCGGTGCCCGAGGGTTCAGCGGTACGGACGCTGCGCGCGAGACCGAAGTCGCACACCTTCAGATCGCAATTAGAGTTCAACAGAAGATTGCTGGGCTTGAGATCACGGTGAATCACGTCCGCAGAGTGGAGAGCCTTGAGAGCACGAAGGGTTTGATAGATGAAGTACTGTGCATGGTCATCCGAAAGATCCTGAGTTCGGATCACACGATGCATGTCCGTCTCCATGAGCTCCTGAATGAGGTAAACCTCTTTGAAAGACTCAATCGATGACGGTTTGATGATATCGAGGATGGAGATGATCTGTGGAGGCTTCAGCATCATCTCGTAACGCCAGTGGTAATGAAGTGCCTACATTCTCTGACACGCCAGACTCAGACAGGAACTTCAGCAACTTAAGCTCGCGGAGCGTTCGGAGGCAGAACATGGAGTGATCAAAAGGGGCGATCTTCTTGATAGCAACCTTGCGGCCAGTTGGGCGGTGGACAGCAGAGCATACGATACCGTATGCGCCCTCTCCAACCACATCCAGTACTTGATATTGGGTTCCAACATTGAAGCGGACCTTGCGAGGTGCAGAGTGAGAGGATGCGTGTGAATGCTTCTTCGTAGAGGTGGATGACGCCTTTGCTTGGGCACGCTCCTTCTCAGCTGGCTTCTCAGCAGGAGGTGTGGTTGAGCGTGTGGTGGTGGCAGCCATTGTAGTGGATTCCGCTGTGGTAGACATTTTGGGAGAATGGGGAGGAGGATGTGAGCGAGAAGAGGGCTGCGAGAGTCGTGTAGCTGTGGAGAGGTCTTTGTATAGTGCTGATATCAGAAGGGAGGCAGAGGAAACCGGAGCAAGTTTTTAGAATGAACCGTCGAGGTCCGTGGATGGCAACCTGCCTGTAGCCGTGACGACCAGCGCGCTTATTGTTGGGAAGGCGAAAGAGAGGACTCGACTCCGGCTCTTGTCGCGTGTGCAGGCGTGGGGATGGTTGTGAGTTGCGGATGTTGTTCTGTCTTCTCGTCGCAACCTACCTGAACCTTTTTGTACTCTTTCAAAGGGCTGTGTATGACTTCTGGAACGACAGGAAGGTCAGGAGTTCGCGACGTGCACGAGACTTGAGAATTGATCAAAGAAAGTGGGATATGCACAGCAACGGCACGGCAACGGGCAAAACGACCCCCAAGGCAACGCACACACACGGCGACGACCAAGGGTCTGACAGCCACCGCATGAATCTGCACTGTCATTACCGAAAATTAACTAATCCAGTGTTCTCCACTGAATTCAACACACGTCGCATTTTTACCCCCTTCCGGGTGTGCACTTATAATCATCACGACATCTTTCTCCCGTTCTATGTCGTTGCAATTACGATAGTTTTGTAGGACTGAACGTTTCAGGCATGCCCAACATCGCCTTCACATCTGGGCCCCTTCGGACCGTTCATGATCGATCACACTGCACTCAACACCGTAGTGCACGGACAGGGGCAAATGTGTCAAGCGTGATTTCTCTAGCGGGTATATACGGAGGGCGAAAAAAGTCCTTTGACACAATTGTGTGCCTCTACTCGGGTTTGCGGCTGATGAACAGGAGCATGGGAGTAAATATCTGTCATAAATGTATCAGCCACCTCATGGTTCGCATTTGTACATTCGCATACCTTGATCTGGCCCCCTGCTACCAGCCCTCTTCCTGCCCTCTTCAATGACTCGCCCACCTCTACAGTGCCTTTGGGTACGGCGCCGATCAACTCCAGAATCCAGAGCGCCGAATGGGTAACGATTTGGCCCGACCAAGTGCTACGCCACACTGTGAAGTAGTCCCACGTAGTCTGAGCTTTGCTGAGATCGCCCTCCAATGGATAATACCACGGAATCGGATCCGGACGGTCCGCAAGGTCCTCTTCATGCAGAATATCGAAGCCAACGGTCTTCAGCGCTTCGCGGGCGTCGGCACTTGTCCTCATTTCCGGGATACCGTCGCCAATCTAGTATGCCTCAGTTCATGTAGAATGACCATCTCGGTATCATCACTCACCTCGATATCGGTTGCGATCCGTTTGTGGGCGAGATTATTCGGTTGATACCGGTCTGTCATCGTCCATTCATAGACACCAAACTGGGCAGGTCAACGTCTGTTGGTAGCAGGCATACGAGTGACACATACTATTCCACCAGGCTTCAATACTTTCATAATCTCTCCGTAGATACCCTCAAAGCTTGGCGCATGCACAGTTGCCTCAATAGCATATACTGAGGAAACTGAGTCTTTTGAAGGTGCGGAAAGAACGCATGTTCTTACCGGCATCAAAGCTGTTGGACCCGAAGATCTCCTCGAGCTTCATGAAGTCACCCTTCTGATACCTTATCTGTTGGGAGAGCTGGGCTTCCTCAGTGTACTTGCGAGCACGCGAGAGCTGGAAATCGTTGTTATTGATCCCTACTATCTTGACGTCGCTGAAACGGGCGATCTCGCGGGCCGGACCACCAACACCACATCCAACATCGAGAACACGCATGCCTGGACGAAGCCCCATCTGAGCAGCAAGATAGTGCTCGTGTCTGGCCAGCTATAAAATCTATTTAGGACACTGTGCATCTCTCTCGTCGAGATGGACGTACCGACTGATAGAAACCTTCGCCTTTGTAAAAACGAGAGAAGTGGAAGCTTTTCCCCCAAGCGTACTCGTACAACTCTGTGGCACCATCATAATAGCCTGAAAAGATATATCAGAGGCATGGAGGCGCATCGGGCAGAGAAAGAGCTCAACCGTTGATGAGCTCGGTGTAGTTGTTCAGCCGGTGGTCCTTCTCCGCCTCTGTATCGGTCTTTGAATCCTTTTCCCAGTAGGAGGTGTAATTCTCCATCCTCCCCTGAGACCGGACATCGCCCTCTTTGCCCATGATGCTCTAAAACAAGAAATAACATGAGCAATCCGTATGAATCGTTCAAACAACATGGGGCAAAGAAAAGGATTCAGAGACTTGAATGATACAACCCATCGTCAAGACGTCGTTGAAAAAGATTAGGTCCTCATCATAAAACGTGTAGACAGTGTCCAAGTAGAAAGGTACTCACAGTTAAAGAGTGCAGGGGAGGAATGGAGAGAGACGAAGGGGGTAAGGAAGGAGAGACGAAGGAATGGATCGGTTCATATTTATTCACACAGAAATTAAGGAATGGAAGGCCGGATGCAGAACTTTTGGGGACGAACCACCAGCTAGGAAAACCCCACTGATTTTCAGAGAGACCCTTGACCCGGAGGCCGCTGCCGTCATGTATTTTATGCCTTGCTGCGCTATTCCCTCCAACGCCGCATCTTCGTAATCATCATGGCTTCGTCGCTCAAGGCTTACCTTGCTGAGAATTACATGTCAGGACCGAAGGCAGACGCCATCCTCGCCCATGAACAACCCCGGAAGAAAAAACGAAAACATGCCGCTATTTCCACTACAGGATCTTCCTTGGTTGTTGAGGACGCCGTGCCATGGAAAGCCCACGAAGAGGCTATGGACGAAGAGGATGCACCGGAGTTCGTCGAGGAATCGAAAGGCTTCAGAAAGAAGAAAGGAGGAGGATGGCAAACGATCCGGGAACCCTCTCCACCCGACGAACAGCCCCAAGTTGTCCTTCCAGACGGTAAACCGGTAGCACCTACGCGCACACGTCCTAAGTCACGGTCTCCTTCTCCCGTTGTTGATGCGACGGACTTAGAGCAGGAAACTGTGTATCGAGATGCCTCTGGGAGGAAAATTAATCTGAGCATCGCTCGAGCGGAGAAGAAACGAAAGGAAAGGGAAGAGGCTGAAAAGATCGGGCGCCGGATGGAGTGGGGTAAAGGTGTTATTCAAAGACAGGAAGCAGAGCAGAGGAGAAACGAACTGCATGGAGGGCAGCAAAAGAATTTTTCAAGATCAGCGAACGATACGGATATGAACAAGCACATGAAAGAGGAGCAGAGATGGAGTGACCCTGCAGCAGCATTTTTAACGGTCAGCTTAACAGGCCCCAATTCTGCATCCACTGATGTTGCCCTCAGAAGAAAAAACTCGGTCCCAAGCGTCCTGCGTATTCTGGTCCATTACCCCCTCCCAATCGGTTCTGCATATTGCCTGGATATCGATGGGACGGAGTGGATCGAGGAAACGGCTTCGAAAAGAAGTTGTTCCAGCGTCAGAACGAACGGCAGCGAACCGGGTTGGAGGCATATCAGTGGAGCGTTGACGACATGTAGACAGTCCTTTCTTATGTGTATTCAACCATACAACACCAGTGCATCAGTGTATAGTAAGTAGGCTCGCGATGAATGGAAGTGACAAAGTTATCATCACAACACCATATTACTTTTGATGCCGTTCTGTTCAGACCCTGGGCGCTTGTACACAAAATCTGGGCGGCTATTTTTATTACCTTAGTGCTCATACTTTTACATTGATGTACTTGCGATAATATGGAGCAAGTGCAATACCATCAGGAGCAGATGCTCCCAGAACTCAAGGATCTCGTCAAGAAAGGACTTTTTTCTCCTGTCGAAGTGAAGGGAATCGTCAAACGCAGAACCGCTTTCGAAACATCACTCGTGAGGAGAGTCGCCGACAGAGCCGATTTTTTGCGCTACGTCCAGTACGAAATGGGGCTTGAAGCACTTCGGCGGAAGCGGCTGCAAAGATTGAGTCGGTCATTTCACACTCTGACACACCTTTTCCTTACGGCTGACACTCTGCGTATGCAGAAATCAAATCGCTTGTTCCAAGTATTTCGGACTACGCAATCATACGAAGGCAATATTACATCTTTGAACGAGCCGTGCGCAAGTTCAAAGCCGACGTGAGCCTTTGGACGCAATATATAGAACTCGCTAGACAAAACGGTGCCCGTGGTCTCGTGGGACGGCTCTGCGCCCGGTGAGTGATAGGTCCTCGGGATGGCACCAGACTCACCCGGTGCCAGCGCTTTACAGTTGCACCCAAATGCACCGTCACTCTCCCTACTCTCCGCATCCCATGAAGTCGTGCAGGGATCGCCGTCTTCGGCACGCTCCCTCCTCCAGCGTGGACTACGGTTCAACCCTGAATCCGTAGAGCTATGGACAGAATACGTCAAAATGGAGCTAGGGTACATAGAAGGACTACGACGGAGATGGGACCTTCTGGGCATTCAAGACGGGGCGAATGCCCCCGGTATACCGGGTGAAAATAATCAGGCTAGGCAACAGGTTTTGGACGGAGCTGTTGTCAGAGCAGTTATAGACAGTGCAACAAAAAGTGAGCCGGGCCAGCAACTATCCCCCGCTTCATTGACGCAACCACAGGTTTACCTGTCATCGAAATGTTCAAGTCTCTGCATGATCTCTTACGAATTTGCACGTCTCCCCTGGTTCCATCTCTCACCAGTCATCTCTTAGAGCTCATGAGAAATACTCTGCGTTCTTCCCCCGAAGCCATGATGCTGCGAGCTGACATCATGCTGGACGGTGCTTCAGATAGTGATGCCTTCGTTGATCGTCTGAAAGTCGCCAACGAGGAGCTCACGGGAGCGATAATGGACCTTGGTCCCCGAATGTCTTATCTGTATTCACAGTGGATAGATAACTGGGTGAGCAGGCTGAAGGGTGACAATGCCGAACTTGTGCGTCATGTGTGAGACAGGAACATATATCTCAGCTAACATGACTCCGTTAGGCCGAGTACCTTCAACTCTCTCTACGGAAAGTCGTTCGGCGTGAAGGAGACCCTCGTTAGAGTAACCAGTACATACCACATAATACAGCTTTTGCTCCAGACAATGGCCTATAAACAGCGTGAGCTGTCGGGTGTTGGGGCTTGCGTATCTTCCAATTAGCTTACCCAACATACTCAGCATGATCTACTCGGGGATGAACGTCTTAGCCAGCTTCATGCAAGTGCGATGATCAAGGCTCGACACAGGAGCACAGGCTGCATGCAAGCCCAACCACGTCGGACTAACAGCTCCATTAAAGCAATGAATGGTCCGCCCATTGACCTCCCCCCATTCCCTAGCCCTGCACCTGGAGCCCAAGGTTCCTCAGGCATGCTACGGTTCAAGTGTGTAAAGCGGCACCCTCTGATCCCCCATTGTCTCAGTCCACTGGAGCAGCTCTGGTCCGGTAAGGACCTAGATTGGTGGGTGAAACTACTCTTTCCGCGATCCTGCAGAATGTGTGAGAGGGCGCATCCAACCGAGCGCCAAAGCAAGAGACGAATCAGCGATGTGCATCCACGCGTATCCGACTGAGGGCATAGACAGGGGCAGAGGGGACCATCGCAAGGGTGGGGAGAGTGAACGATGTGCATGAGTCAAAAGGGGGTGAATGCTCGCGTGTTCCGAATACCTGAGGAGTTTAGAAGGTGTGCATACCTCCAAGCCTGACCTAGGCAGGAAGGAAACGGAAAATAGGTGTCCTTTGTAGGTGGAATGGGTGTCTTGCTCGCCGAACTCTTCTCCGGGTCCACACTCAAGCGCCTTTGGTACCAGACCGGCGAGGACCAGGGCTGACTGCAGGTGGAAACTGCTCTTTTCCTGACTCTTCAACGAGGTGTACGCATGTGTGTCCGACCGAGCGCAGGTAGGCGGGCATATACAGCAAGCGCGCTGCATTGGCAGGAAGCTCCAGTGGGGGTTGGGATGGGATTACAATTGGGAGTTGATGGGAGGACCAGGTGTCTGCTGCAGACGGGACGGAAGCCACCATTTAAGACACGATGGGCAGAGACCATAGAAACTTTTTCTGGAGGGTGGCATGGAGCTCAGCCGACGCAAAATGCACTTTAGATGTCGTCCGTGATGAGATCAATGTACACATTTGATGTAGTGAGCAGAAGGAACGGTCGCAGGGCCGGCTTGACATGAGGATGTGATTTTGTTTTTTCTCAAAAAAAGACAAAACAATAAAGGCCACCCAGGAACACTGAGCAGAAGGTGGCAGGTGTACCTGACCATCTATCTCCCAGTGGGATGAACAGCCCCTTCATTGTGTTCCTTGCAATACACCCCTTGTCTCCATGGTGAGGAGCAAAAATACTGACTGGGATATTTGACATTGCACAAATAGAGCTGGAGAACCCACCCAGCTTCTCATCCATATCCTTCTGAAGTATGGGAATGTGCCCAAAGATCTCAGTGAAGCCCTCCAGGCTGACCTCCTAGTAGAGGATTGCATCTACCTGAGTCATCAATAATACACAGCTTCCTCTGTGAGGACAACATGATACAATGCACAAACATAGGACAAACCAATTGTTGTAGTAGTAATCAGACAGGTGGAAACTCAGCTGGAAGGAGATGACAAATGGATCCATGGAGAAAGATGATCAATGTTATGCCACCAGTTGCCAATGTTGGAAGTTGTACTCTATTCTGCAAAGTCTGGGATGCATGTGATACCAGCAATAGACTGAAGATCTAACAAGTCCTGGGAGGTGGGAAGTGCAGGAATATGACTTACATTTGGGAGCCCCTGATGGAGTACTGGTTGACATCAATATCCAGGCCAGCAGGGGATTGTGGAATCCAAGGTCTTTACTGGGACTCCCAGGGTGGATATGATTTGGCTATAGGTAATGGCATGGTGTTCAAAAGGTAGAGGAGGACCTTCTGCAACAATGAGATGACTTCATAAACTGCTTGTAGGTTCAGAATTTCCTCAGAGATCAGGGCTGAGGGTTACAACTGCTGTGCTCATATAGTTTGTGGTTGCAAGCCTCAAGAGCCTGACTAAGTATAATCATTTGCAGACTATCCTTTTCTTTGGGTTCTTGTTTGGGCCCTGCTATTCTTCTGTGCCAGACCCAATACAGGTGAAAGTTATAATGTGCTATTGTTGGAACAAGATGTCTTGCACCAAATGACTGCTTACATTCAGTCAATATGCAAGAAAAATCTGCACTTCAACCATGTCTTTAATCAGGCACTGGACTGTGCTTACTGAGCTGTCTGGAGATGTTAACATCTACCCACTTCATCAGATCAAGGCAAGAGATTCTTGCCAAGTATCCACCTTGCCCCCTCCCCCCTCTCACTCTACCTACAACTTGGATTGGTGGGTGCCTTTCCATAGCCCTTAAAACATAGATTCATGATTGTAAACATATTTGTAAGCAGAAAAGGGGGGCTCTGCAAAAGGGCACCCCCACAGCCATAAAAATGTAAATGCTGTGCATCTCTCCTCAATCCTGGTCATGTGTGCACAGCCTCTTGCGATGCAGGAGCTAAAGACACATGCAGATTTGATTTGGATTGATTTTATGTGTCCCAGAAATTATTCTGAGGGGTCTGACCCCGCAAATAATTTTGGGTTTATGCAGACTGGATGCAGATCTATGCACAACATTTGGCATTTCAAGAAGCTGCTTGGTAAGCAGGATGAAGGCATGCCGGGTTTTTACACATTCTAAATCATGTCCTAAAAGCTATGGAGAAGTGTCCAGTGTTTGGTGACTGCTAGACCAAGTACTCTCACAAGGCTGATACCTGTCTCACCATGAAGAAAGCACAACCATCAGACCCACATGGAGAATTTTTCCATTCCTCTAATCAGTGTTCCACTCATTAGTCCAGGTCTCTGCCTCAGAATCGAGGTCTTGCAGTTGACCCAGCATTACATAGTTGGTGGCAGCTGTAAGGGTCCCCCTTACTCATCTATTTGGTTTGCTTCTGTTGCTAGGCCCTAGTCTACCTTTTTCCGTGTCCTTTCCTCTCTCTGCACCATCATCACCAAAAAACTGTATTTTGACATTTTCTCTAATACAGAATGGTCTTACCAGTATGTCTGAGTGATACTTCATCACTGTACTGTTGTCAGCAGAGTAGAGCTGGAATCAGATTACTACCAGTGAAAGGGCCTCAGTATGGGCCCTCACTGATGGTCTAGTCAGATAAAGGATTTTTCATATGGACCAAAAAAGGCCCAAAAGAAAAGAAAGTGGTTGACCATCATGACAGGGTCTCTACTTCCCTGTCTGCCAGCAAATGCACCACATAATAGCCATGCAGGTGAAAAAAAACCACAGCATAATGATCACTCAGAGTAGGAGGCTCACCAAGATCACCCTGGTTGCATAACAACCAAGTAATATGTATATCCTCGCAAGCAGAGGGCAAGCAAAGAAGATTGGTTTATATATGCATAACCAAGAACCTTGAGGAGAAAAACCATGAACAACCCTCATACTAGTTTTCTCTTGAGTTTGCCCCCAGTAAGCAGATACAAGTGTGTATGGATTCATTATTAGCTGCTCTCTCCTATGTCAGTGAAAGCTGAAAAATAATGCATGTAGCAGAGTACCAGGAGTTGGGTCATTTGATATGTCTTATGATAAGGTGGAAATGGAGGTTGTCCACACATGTTTATTGGAGCATTTGAATGACAAAATGGGGAAAGAGGATTAGAAGGGGTATCACATGCTGCTGGAAGGGCCTTGGTATAGACCCTCACCGATGGTCCAGTGTGACTATTGTAAGCTGACTAATACTTGAATATCAGATTTGTTCATTAGAAATATATGACACTTCAGTGTACTTGAGATCTATGTAGGGGTAGCATTTGTGCAGACAAGGGCAATTTACCTCCATACTTTCTGAAAAAGGGGAGAGTGCTCCCCTATGCTTTTGTAGTGTTAGGGTACTCATTAGGATTCCATGATCCAGCAGGTTAGGGTTAGGGTTAGTGGTAGGGTGATAGTATCATCTTGGTTTGTTATCAATATCTTTCAATATTTGGTAAAAGTAGGGTCCTCTGCCTCCAATCCATCAGCCTTGTCTCCTCTATACTCGCGTACACCCCCCAATGACGCTCTCTCTATCAGGTTCAACATGCACCTGAACTCGGTTATTCATCAGAATCCGGTCCAGGCGACGCAGCTTGTGTTGGCACCCGCCTCTCTCCCATGAGGTGGCAGGGGGTCTCTCTCTGGGAATACAGCACGTTTGACCTACGTGCACGGCCAGCTGGTATGTATGTGATGATGATTGGCTTTCCATGCACCGGCTATCCCAACCAAACACCGAGTATCAGGCATTACCGTAGGAGGGCGGGTATACTAGTAACATGAAGTATGGCAGGGTTGTGTAGTCGCGCACAGTGTCTTCCTTGTGCTACACGTCCGTCGTCCTCAACATTCCTCGAGGTGAAGGCAATGTCGGCTGTAAGGGAATGGCCAGGCCTATTGGCAAAATGAGCCGATCATAAACTTGTTTCCATTCCTTAGTCGCGGATCCGTCAGCAAATAAATACCCTGTCGGATGACATTTCTGACGTGATTCAACCTGCTGGATAGTCCTGTATCAGGTGTCTTACTCACCTTGAGAGTTTTCGGGTGGTAGTCATCGGCGTTAATTCTGAACCCCATGTGTCGACTCATCGTGTGTCAGACCCAATCGCCGATGGTGGGGGGAAGGAGGCAAAATTGTTTCCGGCTGCTTGCTCATCCTTTCCCCTGTCTCGAGCCATATATCTTGGAGCTGCAGTGACAGCTCGCAGCATCGATCGTTTCCTTGTCCCAGTATTCAACAACAATCAATTCACGTCAACAGTAAGCATTCTCGCATCTTGCTGTCCACAACCCAGGTCGCAATCACGACAATTCGAGGTTGTTGGGGCTGGATTGTGCTGTCCGTTCGTGGATGCAGTTTGCTCACTCAGATGCACAGAAATGGGTCGCCGTCCCGCTCGTTGTTACCGCTACTGCAAGAACAAGCCCTACCCTAAATCGAGGTACAACCGCGGTGTGCCTGATCCCAAGGTGAGTGAAAAAACTCTTCGAATCATGCTGCGTGCAACTAAGTGCCCCGAAGATTCGTATATACGATCTTGGCCGCAAGAAGGCTTCCGTCGACGAGTTCCCTTACTGCGCGCACCTGGTCTCTGACGAATATGAGCAACTTTCGTCTGAAGCTTTGGAAGCCGCTCGTATCTGTGCCAACAAGCACGTCGTGAAGACTGCGGGGAAAGATGCGTTCCATCTCCGCATGCGCGTGCATCCATTCCACGTCATTCGCATCAACAAGATGCTGTCTTGTGCTGGCGCCGACAGGCTGCAGACGGGCATGCGTGGTGCATGGGGCAAGCCATATGGGACGGTTGCGCGTGTGAACATCGGCCAGATCATCATGTCGATCCGTTGCAAGGACGCCAATGCCGCAGTTGTCACAGAGGCGCTTAGGCGTGCTCGATACAAAGTGAGCTGCATCTGACATTGTTGTCCTCGTTGGCTAAATGTGATTCGCAGTTCCCAGGCCGTCAGAAAATAATCGTTTCCCGCAAGTGGGGCTTCACTAACGTGGACCGAACGGATTACGAGGCGCTGAAGGCCAACAAGGGCATGATGCCGTATGCCAATTCCTTTTTCCTCTGTGGCATTCTCTCACGCTTTCATAGTGATGGTGCTTATGTGCAGTTCATTCGTCCCAAGGGAAACCTGGAGCAGAACTTGCGTCTTCAGCTGCGTGTGTGATGTATGTAGACTATTTGCGCTTTAGCAATGTCACGGTGTCCAGCAAGATAGCGAAATGGTCCAGTTGACCAGTCAATTGATGTATCCCTCCTATCTCCACGCACCTATATGCAATGGGCGTCGTCGGGTGGAAACTGGGGGATAGAGCAACTCGATGCTACTTCAGACAGCAACCAGAGTGTACCTTCTACACTATGAATGGCTTACGAAGTCTAGCCACATTTTCCCGTTCTTCAGCAGGGAATGTTTTCGAAGAATCAACTCTGGATTCACACTTCCGCTGCATCGGCCAGTAAAAGTTAGCATGTCTTGGGTACTGGTGATTCATTGTCCAAGGGATGGCGGGTTATAAGCGCCGAAGTGCTCGACTCTCTGGTTCCGCAAGAGTGGTGAGAGACCTGTGGGTGAAGAGGGAGGTATTCAAGGCTTGGCCAAATGCACACCGTTGTGGAGGAAGCAAAGGATGGTAATGGTCTGTACAGGGGGAGGGGTAATTAATACTGATGACATATGGGAAAGAGAGGTATGCGTTGGGGAAGCCGGATGATTGTTGTGGTATGAGGCAGGCGCTCGATCCTGATCCCTGTCGTTGCTTCCGGCTCATCGTATCTGGGGAAGCAAGAGGGCACAAATCCACTCTGCTTCTGTCAACCACCAGTCTTCCCGTCGACGACGAGTCGGGTAGAGCGCCAAAAACGTCCGACAGACATTCTGCTAGGACCGCATTTGCCATACATAGCGGAAGGCCGCCCTCGTGCACCGGTGAACCTGACCTCTCGTCACCTTCCTTTCCTTGTCTTCGTGATCATCGTCTTCGTCTCCCCGTCCCTCTCCCCCTCTCTCTCCCTCTACCCCCGTGATCTTCTCTCTCAACACTGCAGAGCTTTCAAATATCAACCACACATGGAGGCATTTCCCCAACTCTACCTCGCCTCTGGCTCAGCAGATGGCGTCTTGGCGCCTAGTTATCGTGCTCCTCACCAGTCTCTGGAACACTCGCACCCATCCTCCTCGACAATGACAACTCCGTCTAATTATCAATCTGAGCTCATGCGCCCCCTCTCCTTCCCTGTTGGGCATCCCGAAGAGGAGTCATCCGGGACTCAGCTTGCTTCAGCATTGGGCATTAGTGCCAACACATTCTCAAACGATGTCGCATTCCAAATACCCAGCTTTCTTACCGGTCCTATGGGCACTCCGGGTGGAGGAGCGGACATTTTGCACGGCAGCGATATGAGTGGGTTTGGATTGGAGCAGCCGTGGTTTCAAGCTAGTGCGGGTCCATCAAAACCAAATCTAAAGTACGCCAGTTTTCTCCAAGGTTGCCACCATTCCACATTTAACATACTATACCATCAGCCTAAGCATCCCGATGGCCAAGTATAGGATATTGCACCCCTCGACCAACAGCAGTGCTCCAATATTCCAGCGCGTACCAGCGTCCGCGGCACCATTTGATTACTCTGCCGTCCAAAATTATCGCCATGGGCAAGAACCCACGGACGCCGCACGGATGAAGTCGGTGTCCTCCCAGACCTCGGAGGACCCTTCGCCGCCTGGCAGCTATCATTCTCCGGCACTAGTCCTACCTTCGAATGGATTGCATTCTCATAGCGGGACTTCCGCCAATCCGTTTCAAAGCCTGCAGTTACCTATTGATCCAACGAGCCAGTTTGGTCTATATTCGAGTTCAGGGTTTGATATCCTCGGCATACTCACACGAGTGGTTAACCGACCCAACCCGATCATCAATCTTGGCCCAGTCGACTTTTCATGCAGTTTTACCGTCGTCGATATACGCCGCTACGACTCGCCCATCGTCTACGCTTCACCATCATTTTGTAATCTTACCGGTTACTCGCAGGATGAAGTTCGAGGTCGGAATTGTCGTTTTCTGCAATCACCCAATGGTGTCGTCTACAAGGGCACGGCGAGACAATACACAGATCAAGCTGCCGTCGCTCACATACGCAAATCGTTAACCGCTCAGAAGGAATGTCAAGCTTCGCTTCTGAACTATCGTAAAGGGGGGCAGCCGTTCATTAACCTCGTTTCTGTTGTGCCAATCTCTTGGGGCGATACGGAGGACATCGTGTATCATATTGGTTTCCAAGTGGATCTTGTTGAGCAGCCCAATGCAATTCTCCACGAAATGCAGAACGGAAAGTACGTGTTCAACTATTCAGCGTTACCACCCTCCTTCACCGACGATCGACATCTTCGCAAAGAAGCTGGCGTCGCTCCTGAGATGCGTAACATGGTTCAAAGCATGGCCTCACGTGCCATCGGATCCCCGCAAGTCACCGATGAGCAAGTTCTGCAAGAGCTTCACAATCTTCTCTTGGAGGATGCCGATGGTTCGTATTTTATTTTATACGTGATTCCTGTGCTATCGCTGAATCGCGTGTCCAGATTTCATCCATGTTCTTTCGCTCAAAGGCAACTTCCTTTACGTGTCTCCATCTGTTACTCGCATCTTGGAGTACTCTCAGGACGATCTACTGGGAAAAGCAATTTCTGACATCTGTCACCCCTCAGACATTGTATCTGTGCTCCGTGATTTGAAAGATTCGTCCCACTCGCTGCCGGAGGATTCTGTGACAAACGCTGGCAGTCGATCACCCGCTTCATCTGCCAAGCCTGTCCAATTGCTGTTGCGCGTGCGTAGAAAGTACAGTGGTTATATCTGGCTGGAATGCAACGGACGCTTGTATGTTGAGCAAGGCAAGGGTCGAAAGTCGATTGTCCTGACCGGACGGAAGAGGGAGATGCCCCGTTTGGCATGGTCAACTATCGCTCGTACGGGCGGTATGGTTGAGCGTGCTGTTTGGGGCAAAACCTCGGTGGACGGACATTTCCTCAGTGCCGGTATCAGTTCATTCTTGGAAGCTGTGGGCTGGTCTGCGCGGGAAATGGTCGGGACAAGCATGCTGAATGAATGGATCCCGAATGAAGTCGAACGTGAAAATGTCCTGTCAATAATGACGCGCACGGGAACGACCGGCACTCCCTCCCGGGTCTCCTGTCACATGGGGCCACCGAACAGAAGTGTCGTGGCTGTGACTATCTGTTTCTATCCGCAAGAGGACGCGCCTCCTGATTCGAGCCTTGACGTGTTGGCTCCCTGGATGGAGACGGCCCCGGTTCGAGCGAGGCGTCGACAAACGGAACTCATTTACCAAATCACACCATATGCAGGGGAGACGGCTATTCAACCTTCCACCGAGCTTGTCTCCGCGAACACGAACCTGTTCACGGAACTGGAGACCGCACGTAGCACAAGTTTCCAGTACGAATTCCAGCAAAAGCGCAACGAGAATGCAAATATGAAGGCGGAGATCGACGAACGATCGTGTAATAGAGCTCCGAGAAAGAGATAGATGTGTGGCTTCCGTCATGCTAGCAGCGACATGGAGGGCGGGCGGAGCCTGGCATTGGCTCACATTCTCTTTCATTCTCAGGTTGCACTGTCGTTGTTCTTTTGCAGGGACTTTCTCTATGTGTTGATTGTACCAAGTGTATATTATTACTCCGTATTGAAGACATTGACGCCGTCGAGCCCTCGAGGGACCCTTCACACCTGCTGTCTGGTTGTCTTCGATACACACAATGACACGGACGTCTACCCTTCATTTGCGTGATATGTTTATACGGTAGAGAACGCCATAGCCTGCGAGTTATACATGCGGGCATATAGGCCCTCCTTGGCCAAAAGGTCGGAATGTGTGCCCTGTTCAAGAACCTGCCCAGCCTCCATTACTCTTTCCGTGGTCTTATCAGCATCTTCACGTTTGCTGTGGAATCCGCTCTACTCACATGATTTTGTCGGCTGTTCTGGTTAAATGACCAAAGCGATGCGTCACAAAGAGCATGGTCTTCTTACCGCGAAGATCGCGGAGCCGTTGGAAAAGGTCTACTTAGTATCAGTATCATCTCTTGCCGCTAGTGAATCTGACAGCTTGCCGTATTCCGCCAGAGGATCCAAAGAAGCAGATGCTACAGACACTTTAGTAGGCAATTACCGAAGTGAGGGTTGTGTGGTTACGCTCATCGTAGCACAATAGCCTACACACGTCAGATGATCGCATGAATGTTCTTGAACTGTGTCGAAGTTTCATCAGAATGTCCCATGGGTCATGTGCATAGGCGCGTACTCACAGGGCGAGCTTTTGCCACTGTCCTCCGCTGAGGCTTGTGGCCCGATGCTTTTGTACTTCCTTGTTGGCCCACTGGCTGAAGCGATCATCGCCTGAATGAATATGAAAGGCACTGGGGCCCTTCAAACGGGTCCTAAACCCGTCAGCTAAATCTCTCTCGATGAATTCAATGGCACCCCCCGATTCGGCAGCCTTGAGGATGCGGTCGTGATCCTCTGCGTGTTCCGGATCACCTAGTCCAATGTTTTCCGCCACCTGTTGAGCATCAGGCACCTTGAATGCCTTTCGAAGGATGTCAACTCACAGTCAACGGAAAGAAGGTGAACTCCTGAGGCAAGGTGGAGACAAGGCGACGATACGCCGTCAAACGAAACTGCTGCACGGGATGGTTTTCCACTAGGATCATACCACCCGTGCAGTCATACAACCGGGATATTAGCTTGACGATGCTGCTCTTGCCGCTGCCGTTGCGGCCAACGACAACGCAGAGTTGCCCCGGCTCAATCGTGAAAGACACACCCTCCAAGGCAAGTTTGCTGCTTTGTGGATATTTGAAGGTGACATTTCTGCTGCATGTCAGATCTGCCGCTCGATCTCAAGTGTTAGACGAACTTGAACTGTAGTGACAATCCAGCGGGATCACCTGGAAAGTCTGAAATCTCTTCGTCACCATCAGGAACTTGATTTTGAATGTCCGTGCAGCTGTACAAGATTCGAATGCAGTCGAAGTGTTGTTCCAAGCTCTGCATTCAGTACATATGTTATCGTCAGTTGCAACTGCACACGCTGGAGCTACCTGCGTGGTGCTCGCTAGGTTGATGATCTTCTCAGAAATGGAGTGACGGTTTCCCGGAGAAGGGCGAGCCAAGTAACAGATAAGGAGATCGACGGGGCGTTCAGAGCACTCAAAGCAAACAGGACCTGATTCGTTTCAGCCAGGTGGTGGAGCCAGATTTATTCATCAGCTCACCTGTGGAGAATCTCGGCAGACCTCGGAGAGCATTTGTCCAAGAAGCCTAATGAGAGATGGTCGCTGTAGGAATTTCACAGCCTGATTGAATGAAAGGGCCGAATCGCCGAGACGGGTCTTCATTTCTCGCGCTTCTACATACGGCGATTAATTAGCGACTGATATTGTCATGAAAGTAGAGATGCACTTTTAAGTACATACGACTGCAAGTTATTCATTACGATCTCCTCCCTATACATAGCCTTGTAGGCAAGTTCTCGGTATCTGGATGGACAGTTTAATCGGCTCAGCAGTCAGGCGAGAGGGGCGGGCCTCACCCAAGTAAGCGTAGATAATCATTGTTATCAGATGTTGCATAGAAATCTGCGACTTCTTCTCATATCAACTCATTATTCAACGCGGAAGTCTGCTCACTCCAAGTCCAGTATCCCTTTCGACCTCGTGAGAGCCATTGCAGCGCCGGCGCTGCCACAGTAAGGATCAGATAGATACCTCCTGCATTCTGCTGCTGCAGCCTTGTTCCTAACACAGAGAGTTGGCTGAGCAGTTGAGTCAGGACCGATGCGATGCGAATGAATTCAGATACAGTACGCCACGCTGAGCTGTATGTGGATGGTGAAACAAGAGCTAAATCGTGCTGAACTTTGGGATCACTGAACGTGACATTATCCAATCGTAAATGGGCTGATTCAGGGAATCACATGTCTGTTTGAGCTCGCAAGGATCGAACGCTTCACCCACCGTAGAGTAGATGCTCTTCAAAAAAGGCCTGTATCTTGGTATTAAGCCGTGCACCGCATACATTATCCCTGAGAGAACGTGAGAGTGAGCAGTGGTTGAACACAGATTCTAGGTTTACACCAGGTGAGGAAGGAGCCGTCCAAAAACAGTGCACACTATTCGGGCTGAGGCATACCAAAGTAGATCTCTCTGATCAATATCCCCCTGTTCTACGGCCCTTTGAACAATAAGAAGGAGTTGAGAGGAACAGTAGATAGAGGCTGCTGGAACTAGAGCATTCATCGCGTTTCCCAGAATCCAGAGAGCAAGCCAGAGCGGTGAAATTCGAACCAAGTCTCTGAGGAAACGCCGGAAGTAAACAGGAATAGAGGACCATTTATTTGCAGAAAAGGTGGGAAGGTCTGAGACAGTGAGCCGAGCAGTAACAAGCTGCCAAACGCCAACTCGTCGTTGACGCACAGTGGGATTGTAGTCCTTTTCCGACGCAAGAGCCCTGGGCCATGAAAGTGGGACAGACCTCACCACTCCGCGCCGTTTCATACTGCAATAATACCAGAGGCGCTGCGAGCTGTTCGAGGTAGTATGCAAGAAAGCAGTAGTCCTATGTAGGTGTGCCGTTGAGGAACTTCAAACAATTTGCATGCAAGAGCAGCGCTTGCTTCCGCTGCGACCATACATATGTAACATTAATGTGTAATTAACGAGGGACGCCCAATGGCCTGCATCTTCTATTCAATCGACATCTCCCTTCCTCTGACGATTAAATTTAGGCAACAACTCCCGCAGATATTCCGCATGCTTCTGGCGTAGAGCACGCTCTTGCTCGGCCCCTTGTCCACTCCATGTACGACGTTCTGAACCACCTTCGCCGTAGACCACGGTGTACTCAGGTAAAAGCTCTGGCATAGGCGGTGAAAATATGACAGCCGGCTGAATGACACAGTATGAAGATATTGAAACTGTGTGGTGGACTCTGGCTCGTGTTCCAATTAGGTTGCAGTTCCCGATGGATGGGGATTCGGTTCCTGCCACGGCGTTTCAGTCGATAGAAATATCGCAGGCTCAGACTTTACGGGAGTTAATTTCAAGATGATTCTCATCACCGATACGCATAGTCTCTTTGTGTCTGGTGACGGGGGTTGTTTCGTTGATCAATAGGAAAATGTTATCAACTTACTTGTTCACGATGACAACCCCTTCTTCTATGATACAGCCAGACCCAATGATGATAGGACCAGCAATGGCATATATGGTCACCTTCGGGTGAACGACTGCAGAAATTCATACCCATTCAAGCGATACCTCACAGGAATTCATCTGACCTGTATTGGAGCCGATTGTCACGTCTCCTTTAAGATCGACATCCGAACAAACAACAGCCCTCGAGTGAATCGTGATCCGGTCCTTTCTGAGCTATGTTGTTCAGCACAGATGTGTAACTCAGTCTTGTTGAGATCTACTCACGGTGGCATTAAAGAGCTTAGTGGCCGCGTGTCGGCGGCTGTACAGAAGTGCACCGCGTGGCGAGGTGCTTCGACACTGTCAGAGCATGGGCGGTGCTAAAGCCCATTGTCTACGTTTTGGCCTTTTCTTATATACTTGATCCACTCTTTTGTTCTGAACGACCACGAACCCCATCACCCTCAGAAATCCGCCGTTGACGTATCATGGCTGCGGCCGGAGATTTGGGCAGCTTTCGTCCTGGAGAGCAGTACCAGATCCAAGAAGTAGTTGGTATGCGCATTCTTGCAACGAATGCGAAACATGAATGCTGAGCAAGCTTAGGCGAGGGAGCCTATGGCGTCGTGTGGTAAGTACGCCTGTTCCATGCATTTCCTTTTCTTGCTGACGTTCGATAACAGCTCTGCGGTGGATCTTCGAACTGGCGGGAGGGTTGCGATCAAAAAGATAACCCCATTCGATCACTCGATGTTCTGCCTTCGCACTTTGAGAGAAATCAAACTGTTACGGCATTTCAAGCACGAGAACATCATTTCTATTTTGGATATAACGAGACCGCAGAGCTTTGAGAGCTTCAACGAAGTGTACCTCATACAGGTAAGCCGATGTGTGGACTTGCCCTGTCTCTCCCTGCTAACCATTGTTTCAGGAGCTAATGGAGACGGATATGCATCGCGTCATCCGTACTCAGGAACTCTCAGATGATCATTGTCAATATTTCATCTACCAAACTTTGCGGGGTCTGAAAGCCCTTCATTCGGCCAACGTTCTACATCGAGATCTCAAACCGTCGAATCTTCTGTTGAATGCTAATTGCGACCTCAAAGTATGCAAATTTATTGCCTGGCGGTGTCTGTAGCTTATATGGTCTCGAAGATATGTGATTTTGGTCTAGCACGGTCTGCTTCCCCCCCGCCTGGTGTTCAGCTTGATGCCGCCACATTCATGACCGAATATGTTGCTACAAGATGGTACAGAGCCCCGGAGGTCATGCTGACATTCAAAGAATATACTCGTGCTATTGACGTTTGGTCGGTTGGATGCGTGCTAGCGGAGATGCTGAGCGGTAAGCCCTTGTTCCCAGGACGGGACTATCACCACCAATTGTCCATCATTCTGGACGTTCTTGGGACGCCGAGTCTCGATGACTTTTACGCCATCACCAGCTTGAGGAGTAGAGAGTATATTCGTGCACTCCCTTTTAGGAAGAAGAAGCCATTCACACAACTCTTTCCGAATGCAAACCCCCTGGCTGTTGACTTAATGGAACGCTGCCTTACATTCAATCCGAAGATGCGAGTTACAGTTGAGGAGGCGCTGGGACATCCATACCTAGAGGTGAGTATCAGTCTTTGAGAGGGTTCGAAACCTGTCTCTCTAATTTCGTTTCCAGCCTTACCATGACCCTACCGATGAGCCTGATGCGGAGCCGCTTGATCCGTCTTTCTTCGACTTCGATTACACGAAAGAGCCCCTCAATAAGGAGCAGCTCAAAGGTTTGTCGCGGTTTACTTTGATTTCCAATTGCTCGTCAGTTCTGATGGTAATGACAGTTCTTATATATGAGGAGATAATGCGCGATTCGATGTGATAAATTGTTATATCCCCGCTCACCGTGCCTCATGCCATGTACTGTGATACCCCGCATCTTGAATTAGCTGTAACGTAAACCATGCCTCTTGCAATGTAACAAACGTCCTCTGCGAAAGAACGGGGTGTGCCGGAAGTTTCCAATGAAAGTGTTGCTTCCCGCGAACAAGGGTCGTCAGTTCGTGTCTTCTAATCGTCATCCACTGTCAAACGAACTCCCTGCTTTTACAACTCGATGCCGGGCAGGTCTGTGGATCCCTCGACACCTATATCGGCACCACCACATAGTGCTGGCCGCCGTTTCAGGGGATTGCGGTCTCCCATTGATCCCCACAACATCCCATCTCCAACAGTCGTGCAGGAAACTGATCAGCGAACCTGGTCCAACAGACCATTTTATACGCTCTCAAGTGAGCAACCGCCTCTCGCGACTTCGGACTACGTTGCTATTGACCAAGGTATTGATCACCCACATCCGATGAGGTCGATGCTAAGCATACCCCTGACAGGCAACGCTTCCCCGCGATTCATTAGACTCACTTCCTACGCGGTTCCGCACAGCGCCGATCTTGCTGCAGCCTGCGAATGGCCCCTTGGAGCCGTGATCCAACCATTTGCACCTTTGCATCCTGATGAAGAAGGTGTACCTGTTGTTGATTGTGGAGAGGCTGGTCCACCGCGGTGTGGGCATTGTCAGGGATATATAAACCCATTTGTCGAATGGGTAGACGGTGGTCAGCGATGGAGGTGTAATATGTGCAGAGCATTAACCGACAGTAAGCTAGTACTCAAGGAGTGAAGTTCTCGGTGATCAGTTCTTGCATAGCGCATCCGTCATATTTCAGTCACCTGGATTCCGCTCAACGTCGCCAAGACTATGCAAATCGCTTGGAACTGCAGAGAGGCACGGTCGACTTTGCCGTAACTAGCGAGTACTTTGCTCGGCATCATCCCCTTGATCTAATTGACAAGTCCACATCTCCAACTTCCACTCGGCACAGGAGCGTTGATCTCAACGATCTAACAACTTTTCTGCGACCTACAGTCAACTCGCGAATTCGTGCTCCAGAACCAGCTCGTCACATTTTTGCTCTGGATGCCGGAGCAGATTCAATTCGATCCGGATTCTTAGCATCCGCTATATGCGCGCTGCGTGAAATGCTCTATGGGAATGTGAGCGACCCATTAGCGAAGGCGGCCTTTCCGCGTGGAGAGGGATGCAAGGTAGCTTTTTTGACGTACTCCGATACTCTGCAGTTCTTCCATCTCTCAGTAAGATTATCTAGCAACGCTCGATATAATAATACTTACAGCTGTTTCTCCTCTTCGAGGAAAGCCAGCCCTGCAAGGACCGACACTATTGGTTGTCTCTGACGTGGAGGATGCCTTTGTGCCTTTAGAGCAGAACTGGTTTGTAGATCCAGACAAGTCTAGGTGAGGGATTCTGATTAACAGCGCATGGAGATGGATTTACGCAGAGTGACAGAACTCATATCGAATGCGCGCTAAACATGATTGCTCATCAACCCCTGGACCATGCATCGTCTTTATGTGCCACAGGATCTGTGGTCAACGCCATCCTGTCTGCAATGGTATCTTCATTTAGTTCTGTTTCTCTCAGTGAGACTCACTGTGACCAGGGAGGAACCGGTGGCCATCTCATACTTTTTACTGCCGGATTGGTTACGACAGGTGCCGGGGTATGTATGAGACGTGATGAAACGCAGCTAGTGGGAACGAAAGATGAAAAGATACTTTTTCGGCCACATGACATTTTCTGGCCGAATTTAGCAGAAAAATGCGCTCAAGCTGGTCTCGCGGTCGATGTATTCGCTGCTTCACAAAGTCCGATGGACCTTGCAAGCATAGGTGGGTTGACTTTGTCTCACATGAATACAACCTGATGAAAATTAGGAACACTTTGTGAATCGACTGGTGGTCGCATCTTTTTCCATCCAAGATTTGAACCAAGTAGGGACAGTACAGCCCTGGCTTCAGAATTAAGGCACATCATGCGAAGTTTCACTTGTTATGATGTCACAATCAAAGTTCGATGCACGAACGGTACTTCTGTTTATGGGGTTTGGATGGAAAGCTGATGATATCGAAGGATTGCGAGTCACCGCATGTCATGGAGCCTTCTACTCTGCTGATGCCACTTCGCCTGCTTACGCAATTATGCATGGGTCGAGTTGCTTCGCAGCAGAGCTCAAACACACCAGCGGTCTTACCCCTGATTCCACTGCGTATCTTCAATGCGCGACATTGTACACCACGAGGGATGGCCGACGTCGCGTCCGTTGTCAAAACTTAGCAATGGATGTCAAATCATTGATAGGAGACATATTCGCGAGAGCCGATTTGACTGCAGGACTGAGCTTACTCTCGAAATTGAGTCAGTATATTTGCGTGCTGCAGTACACAATTGTCTGATGTGATGCAGGCGCCGTGCAGATCGGTAGGAGGAATTTACCTGAGATTAAAAAGAACCTTGTGGAGCAATGCGTCCTGGCCCTTTTCGCCTATCGAGTGAACTGCTCTGCGGCAACGGCACCAACACAAGTTCGTACCTCTCTTTGCGTTCTGCACAACAACGCTTACATGAGATGGCACAGCTCATACTTCCTGAGGCACTGAAGACGCTACCAGTATTTATATTGTGTCTGATTAAATCCAAGGCCCTCAAGGGTGCGCATGGCACCCATTTTGTTACATTCTATTGATTGATCATATATGAAGGTTTAAACGTTATCTCGGACGTTCGGTGTCACAGCCGCTGGCAGCTTCTTTCAATGCCGATACCATCGCTCATCAACAGTATATATCCTAAGCTATATGCATTGCATGATCTGGAATCTACAGCGCTCATGCCTGGATCGGATGGTCGCATTCATCCGCCAGCCCCAATGCGACTGAGCTATCTTTGGATGGAGTCTGGCGGGTTGTACTTGATAGGTCAGCGGACATCATACATTCCTGATGCATCTACTGAAAAACACCCCTAGATGATGGAGAAATCAATGTCCTGTGGGTCGGTGGGGCCGCAGTTGACGTAGTGATGCGAGATCTGTTCGACGTTGACGATTTTCTGAATGTTTCGAAGGTGATATATGTTTGAAGGATGCGTACAGCTATTGAGCTCAGCCTAGACTCCACTACCTTCGTTGCCTACGCTCCTATCACAACAGGTCAAGCATCTACTTGAATTCCTGGCTTATCGACGAGGTAGACAAGTGCCTTTGCTCATCGCACGGCAGAACTTGGATGCGGCCGAGTTGGAGTTCAGCAATGTGCTTTTCGAAGACGAGAACAACGACGGAATGGCCTACACCGATTGTACGTGTTGATTTTATGTTCCAAACCCGAGTCCGTGAATCAGTTTGTCCAGTTCTCTGTGAGATCCATGACCAGATTAGGACTGGGCTGAAAAGCGGCAAGGGATCATGGAAATCGTCCTCGTGGTAATCAAATAAGGAAGGACAATGCTCTGGTGGAATTGACAATCAATTAGCAGAACTCATTTTCTGTATGACGAAATGAATGTACAGCTCTGGCTTGTCTTTGCCAAAGAGAAAAATAAGTATGGACACGGAGCACGCGAGTGAGATAATGGTGACCTATCAAAGGTACATTGCCGCGGTCCGTTCCATGATTGTTAAGATTCCACGGGCTCGGACCGCGTCTTCATCAAGCTTCACTGAACGGTTACCGACCTTGAAGAGGTATGCAAAGTCGGCCTGAAGATCAATTGGTACCGACGATATACGCCGCCTGGCCATCTTCGTTTCGAATTCATGTGCAAAGTCGCGCGAAATCTCTTCCGCGCGTTCGACTACGGCTGTCGGTACCCCAGCCAGACTAGCCACATGAGTACCGAAGGAAGAAGTGGCCACGCCATCTATCAATTTGTACAAGAAAACCAGCTTTCTCAAGTTAGCGTTAATCATGGTCATCTGCTTCAACCACATACCTGCCGCTCATGTTCATCAACAGTAGTTCCCATGTGCATATTCCTGATGTTTGGATGCTTTTTCTCGGTGAGCGTGGAGTAATGGGTTGCGAAGCAAGATAAAGCAAGGGTATGGGTGGCAAGATGATGTAGAACAGCCTGCAGTCCTCGGTCAGTATCAGCTTCTGGGGTGTCGAATGAATGTACTCCGGCGATTGCCATGCCATCCTGAAATGAAAGTCATTAGCATCTACACCCAGGTTGCTGACGTTTTAAACCCACGAAGGTGGAAGTACCTCTGCCCAACTCTGACTTTGAATGAGTCATATGCGCAACGATCAACGCGATCCAACATACCGTCGAGAATGACTAAGGATCGCGGAGTAGCGTCCCTCAGGATCTTACAGCATTCATCTAATTCTACTTTGAACGTGCTCGCGTTGGTGAACATGTTGTCGTATGCACCCATACGGGTCAAAATAGCGTCGACCGGTGCCAACTTCGCAAATGCTGCGGGAACGTACATCCCAAGTTGAGCCATAATCTGAGCGCGTCAGCTCCTCCCGGGAGGAAATAAGAACCGCCGCTTACCACACCTGCAGCTGTCATGCGCATCAATGTGGACTTGCCACCCATGTTGGGCCCGGTTAACAACATGATTTTCTCTTTGTCACCGCCAAGCTTGACATCATTTGGAATGAAGGGTCTGTCTGTGAGAAAAGCAGGATGTCTGAGTTGCTGAAAGTCGAGGAAAGCATTATCCGATTCAACAAATTGAGGTCGACAGGAAGGTTCACCCAACGCTTGTGAACTTTTCGCAAGACTGAACAAGCAATCCAGTTCAGCGACGACTCTGACAGCACGGAGCCAGATATCCCTGTCTTGATCGAACTCGTTGAACAGCTTCAATTTATATTGCTTGATGACCTCTTTCAGTGTTTCCCGGGCTTCTTTAAGCTTTCGGATAGTACTCATGAGGTCTGGCACTTGCCACCTGTGCACTGCCTGGAAACAACCAGTGAGTTACAGTGGCATTAATCAACAAAACTGACAAAACATGCCTTGGTGCCACCACCTTTTGTCCAGCCTTTGGGTATACCTTTGAAGGACGAAGGGGCCTCGACTAGGTAGATCTCCTACGCAAGCTCTGAGAAAGGATTCGGGATGTGCTTGATCGACAGACCTTTGTACCCAGAGGGCTGTGCCAGTAGACCAAATTGCTGAAGCTGCAGTTCCTGTTAGCACGTGAGGTTGGATGATGCTTCGGGCACTTACTTGAGTTTTTTCTTCAGGCTATCAAGATCTTCCTGAAGCCTTGCCTCCAAGCGATCAATCTCTGCCTGGACTTGCTCGTAATCCGAATCTGCTCCCTGAACAGGATACAGGAGATCATCTAGAAGCAGTTCGGCGTTCCAATTTGAAAATATGACAACTTAAGTAGTCGTACCCTTTACATGGTACATGCCTTGAATATGCCTTAGGTGGGGGGAAAGATCCGGCGCAGAGCTCAGAAGATCTCCTATACTCCGAGAAGAGAAGTCATCCGCCTCTTCAGCTAGATCAGAGAAGCCCCTTTGAACCTGACGAAAAGCCTGAGACAGGGTGAGCACAGCGAGATGGTTCGGATTAGAAATAACACACTTCAATCAATTTCTCGAAGTCCTTCGTTTTGCAGGTCCTTGCATGAACACGTGACACCATTCGTTCAAGATCTGGCAATCCTCTTGAGAGCTTTCCAAAAGTCGCTTCAAATGATGGACGGCTCATTAGATCATCCACCGCATCTAATCTGACCATTAACTGTTAGAGATGCGCCTTGATGCAGATTAACAGCGCTGACCGTGCATTAATTGCCTTGACTTCACGGAGGGGCATGCACAACCAGATACGGAACAAGCGCTTCCCTGGCTTCGTATGAGTTAGTGCTTTCACAACTTGAGAGGGGTTTACCAAAAGGGGTCACACAACGATTGAGGAGGTTTAAGAGCGTCCCTTCATCGGTGCTTTCACTGTTGACGAGGACCTATACGAGGTTGAGGACGAAAGCTTTGAGCCTCACAGAGCTGACGGACCTCGATATGCGCTAAAGTCTGGCCATCCAGGACCAAACCCATGCCACGACGCATGGGGTCGTAAATGTTGAAGTTGCGCATGGTGAGAAGATCCTTCCCCACGTTGAGCTGACCCAAATACCTGACTGCATTGAGGTCGAAAGAATGCAAAAGGAAGAGATTGGGCTGACCAGATCATGCCACCCAAAGCCTCAACAGCCGTCACCTCTGTGACGACAGTACGTATAGCAGGTGGTAGTCCACTTAAGTCTCTCCCCTGAATGACACTGCTTGAATCATTCTGCGTGGCAGGGTAGAGGTTCACAAGCTCATCGAGTGTGCGCTCGTAGGACCAACTCTCCAAAGACGGTTTCAGTGCAGTCCACAGACAAGACCCCGGTACAACAGTCCTCAGCAAGCGAATGGTCGAAATTGACAGATTATCCTAGGGCATCATTAGTATGAGTCGTCCATGTAAGAGACGCGTGAACGTACCGTACAGTGCACTACCTCTTTTGGCCTCAATTGACGCATTACAGTTTCGAGACGTGTCTTGCAAGCATCATCCTCGAAGCAACACAAGTTAAATTCTCCAGTCGCTGCATCTAGAGTGCAGATGCCGAAGGTGTTGTTCTTCCCCTCCTATCCATTGTCAGCGTTGTTAAAGCATTTGTTAGCTAGTTCACCTTGATGCTGACACAATGCCCCGCTTCGTCATCAACCATGAGTTCTGGATCGACCAAAGTCCCGTTGGTTAGAACCTTGTTCAACTCTCGTCTGACGATTTCCTTGCCGGATCCCCCGGAAGAATTACCATGTTTTGCAACCCTCATCTCTGCACCAAGCTGAGTTTCCACTTGATCGACGCGGCCAACTTTGTAGCCCTTGGCTAGAAATTTCGCTGCCCAAAAGTTGAACGAAGACTCAGGTACGCCAACCATCTGTTTGCCGTCAGTGGACAACACAAGAAGCCACTAGAACAATATCAGGACCTTCATCTTTACGCGATCGGTGAGTTTCAGGTCAAATTCCCGATGACCAATCTCCTGTTCAATGTCAGCATCACTCGCCGGGAGAGAACGGTAGGTCTCTCACCGCGTCCTGCTCATACAGTTCGTAGAATTTGCCTTTTTGAAACATAAGCACCTGCACGACAGAATCAATGTAGTGTCCACTGGTAACATGTAACTTACTGTATCGTAATGATTTTGCTTTATTTCCCAAAACTGCTTCTCAAATGGGGTAAAACTGGCCCACGCGTTCTTTGGGATGAAAATTGTGCGAGGATCATATCCGTCTTCCCCAGGGCGTTTACCCGTTTTCTGAACCGACTTTCAGTGACGTTGCATGAGGCGATGGGGATGAACGCACATCGTGGACATCTTTTAAAAACTCGAAGTAACCCTCTTGAGACTTCTTCTGTGCTCTGAATGTTTGGGCTCTCAACTCAGCCGCGGTGAGGAACTGATTGCTTCCCCCCCCACCCCTGCTGAATTCGCCTGACGAAGAATCTGGGCCCAAAGAGCTTGCCATAGGTTGCTGCTCATGCTTATTCAGCATATAGGGGGGGAGGACAATGACCACGGACCTTAACGCCTTTCGGAATGCCTCGGGCCTTCGATCTCTTCGGCGCCTCGTACTCTCCTTCATCCACAACGAAGTCAGATTCAGGTTCCGATTCCGACGGAACAAATGCATCCTCATGTGCTGTTTTGGAGGATGAAGGGGAGGATCGTCTTTTTTTTTGTAGTGGCCTCGCACTCCGTGTTGACTTCACTGGACAACATAAATGAGCCCATAGCCTGTTTGGGTAAGGTCAAGTAACATGCCAGGTGCTTTCGCAGGAGGAATAGCAAATATGGCGGGATCTATGTCATCATCAGAGTCTTCAGCTACGAGCTTGCGCTTGATCGGCTGCTGAGAAGACCTTCAGTAAAAGGAGGCACCTGTCTACCAACGTATTGACTGACTGTTGGGGTGGTTCTGGCAGTTTCATCAGCATCAAGCATGAGCGTGTCATGCCCATCGGTGTCGGTAGCCTCGGTCAAAGGCGAGTCCGCATCGAATGGACTGCTATTGGAAAAAGACACGCTAGGTATGGTTGATTTCGCATTTGGGGACTGCTTTGAACTCGTCTGTTTCGCGGGCTCAACTTGGCCAACCCGCCTGGTGCTTGAGGACGTGGACTGGCTTTTGGCAGAAGACGGAGATGGATCTGAGCGAGTTGGGTTATTTTTAGGTGTTAAGAAGGAGAACAGTGTCCTCTGCTTCAAGCTGGGGGTATCTTTGACAGGCATTCTGCTGGCTGGCTGTGTGACACAAAGTCGAGAGCAAGGTGTGGTCGACACCGTACGCACCAGTGTAACGCGCGTCTGGTTGATGCATCTGACACGTTTTGGTCCCGCTCACGCGATTGAGAAGTTTGTCGTACGTACAACTACGTTATCGATGTTGATATTGTATGTGTTGAATAGGGTAAAATACAGGATCGACATCTCGAGCACTCTGGAGAAACTGTCGGTAACAAAAGTATCATTTCTTTCCCTTTCCAGATTTTCCAGACTTCGCGGAACCTTTGCCTTTGGCAACTCTGAGCAATTTGTCATCAGCAATATCGGTGGGGTCCTTCGCCTTTCTTCTTCCATTTGGTACATCCTCCTCATCCCCCTCGGGTTCTTCATCCACCTGAAATTCACGATCAGTATCATCGAGTCTGCGTTCCAGTGGTGTACGCACCTCAATGGCTTCTTCTACATCAGGCTTTTCGGCCTTACCTCTCGTAAGGCTAGCCCCAATGTCTTGGCCACGGTTAAAGGGAATGGGATGATCGGTATTATTGTACCTGGCTTGCATCAGCGGCACGTTCATCACCTGCAGGAAGGGAGGGCCTACTTCCGAGTAAAAGAAGTCTTCGTAGCAGTAGAGATCTTTTTCAGAACCTCATCCCCCCTGTTGTCGCCGACACCAAGTTCCACGATAGTGTCCCATTCGTCTCTTGAAAGGAAATACTCATCCATAGTGTGGATGACTTCATCCACTGCGGTCTGTGATCACGTCGAAAATCGAATCAATTTAACAGGAAGATGTACTCACCGCTCCAGAATCGACAAGGGGCTTGACTAGCCTTGCAGTCATCATTGGAACATATGTCATCCGAATCTCGCCCTTATCTCCAGAGACTTTTGACCTCATGCGCGCCTGAACATCCCCAAGTTGCCTTCTCAGTGCCTGCATCTTGGAATTCTGGCCAAGCCATCTGCATTCGAGTCAATCAAATGACAGGGTATAAACATGCACAATCATTTACGCACCCAGGGAAAGAGAATTTACTGTCGCTGCCCCAGTGCCCTCCTGTCCCATAGACCTTCGATGCTGGATAAACGGTTGAAGTGACAGCATGCAAGGGCATGAGACTCCAGTGCTGCTCAGGACCGTGGATCATCGCATCCACAAGATCACCATCAGACATCGATTTCGACGAGTCCTCGAGTAGTTCCAGACCCTTCAACTCTTTCATAAAGCCATCCGTATTTCTACAGAGGGCGGGTTCGGTTTTTGGGTAATTCTCCTGCAATCGAGTTCAGGCATGCACACGCAAGAAGGTGGAAATCATACCTGGACAAACAGCGGCACAAATGAATAATCTTGGAAATAATACTCAATCTTGTCATTCAGACTTTCTCGGGAGGTAGAAGAGAACATGTAAGGCCCAAACAGTTTCTCAAGCACACCCCACGGTGTCATGGTCGAGTACTTCTCGTTGAGGGATGCTCTGGGAGGAAATTCGGGTCAAATGGAGAATGCTACGGAGCTTTTTCTGCGCCTACAGTTGCTTTGCTTCGTCGAAGTCCATGTTAGTTTGTGACAGCTTCCAGGTGGAAAGCATGTTCAAAACTTGACGGATATCACACTGCACGCCTGTGACTAGTTGATCGACGACATTAGGGGGGATCTTCATTTTCTCTCTGTACCTGGCATCAGAGGTGTTTCTGACAGTAACTGGAGAATCTTACTTGAACAGGATGCTCATGATACGGGAGCGTATGGCCTTAGCATCGGGTCTACAAAAATCAGTTGAATTCGGGTAGACTAGTGGGATTGCGCTTACTTCCGGAATGGTAAGTTGTATGTGGTACCTTGGAGGGGTTTCATTTTTTGCAGGGTTCTGTCATTTGCGATGCATATGATGGGTATCTGGAAACAGTTATATAAACTACATCTGGCGAATACCACAGATGCCAACATACGCGAGTTTTTTTGATCAGTTGATTCAATGCGCCGATACCGCCTCGATCACTGCCGGACATGCCGTCCACCTCATCCATGATGAGAACAGAACGTCCGCTGATATCGATGCCCGCAGCCGTAGTTGTGTCCTGCTCCCCATCAGCCCGGGTCATCGTTCACTACAGAAACACAAACCGTCCCACCATGCATCCAGCCATCCAAACTTTGGTTACTGATGTTCGTGCTGTTCTTTCTGCGACTTAGCAATCAGATTTGCAGGAAAGGCTTCAGACTCACCATGATGAGCTTCTTGCTGCGAGCATCACTTGCATTCACTTCGATAGGGGTGTAGCCTTGCACCTGTGCAACGAGATGCGCACTTGTGGTTTTGCCAATTCCCGGAGGCCCGGAAATCAAAACCGCCCGATACACACCCATGCCGTCTTTTCCAGCCTTGTTGAACCCCTGATGAAGGTTCTTTGGCCTGATGAAGACATCAGAAGATTGTACCAAAGTGACTATAGAGTACGGCGTACCAGTCCTCTAACCATTTCTCTAACTTCTCCACGGCAGCCTTATTCCCGCAGATCTCATTCAATGTCTGCGGCGCATATCGCGTGGTCCACAGCTGCCCGAGCCCCTGAGACGTTACACCGGGTCCATTCAACTTCGCGTTGCTTTGTTTCGCTGCCTCCTTCTCTCGCGTTTCCATTTCCTTTGCAGCCTTGATGATATCCCTTTCCTCCTGTTCTAGCTTAGCCTTTGTCTTTTCATCCAATACACCTTTCCTTGTCCGAATGATGTCCAAGAAACCGTCCTCGTCCAACGTCGCCAGGTTATGCTTCTTGATGGTAGCAAGCTTGGATGCGCCCGCATCTGTTCCGATGACAACGTAAGACGTCCTCCCCGACGGAGAACCTGTCACTCGTCTACAGACCAGGTTAAATTCGGTCACCTTCCGGCACACAGACTTTACCCACCCGCCGTAACGATTCACGAGATCTATAGCCTCTTCTCGGGCCAAGCTCGACAGTTCACCAGTGAAAACGAACGTGAGTCTGAGGGAACTTAGACAATGTAGGCGGAAAGCCAATCCATATGCTTACCCTGCAAGACAATTCGGCTGTCCTTCAGGGATTTCTTTCGAACCAGGATTCAACGGGCGAGCAGCGGCCTTGGCTGCCCAACTTGAATTGCGTTTAGTCTTCAGCTCTAAGAGGCGGACAGTGACGCACTTGAATTTGGGTTTTGTTCTACTGACGGTCTGCTCCTCTTCTTCTTTACTCTCCTTCCGTTCCGTCACGCTGTGTTCTTTCGGGAGAGGTTTGGACTTGGTGGGCTTGGACTTCTCTTCAATAGGTGCATTTGATTTTGGAGCAGCACTTCTCTTTGGAGCAGCCTTCTTATTCTTAATAGGCTTCTCGTCTTCTTCGGCATCATCAATGAAATCGTCCCCATCATCATCTTCCAAGTGGAGCGCCTTGTCACTGTCGTCTTCTCGTCTATTAGATGCGTATTTTGTTGAAGATGATGGAACGCTAGCTTTTGATAGACGGGGCACCTTTCCAGATGGTTTATTGGGATGAAAGTCGTCTTCGTCTTCAGAGGACTGCATGCTTTTGCGTTTACCCGAAGCTGTCGCGGAGGACTTTAGGATCGGTGCAGTAGCGCGAATGTTTGACTTGGACGTATTGTCAGATCATGCTAGCAAGGGGGCGAGATCATACCGGAGATGTTTTCTGGGAGACGGTAGAACTCCTGGATTTGTCGGGAAGCGCTTTTCCGGGTGCGGTGCTTCAAACTATGAGACAATGTGCACACGCCGTGGTAATGAAGACGGACCTAGACAATTCGAAATTCACCGAGACAACTGAATCGTCCTCATCGCCTTTAGCCGATGTCAATATAGCAACGCATGAATGTAGCCTAGCGGTGCTCACTGAGTTCAATGGGCTGCTTGTGACTCATACCGTTTGTCTTGCGTGAAACCGTGGATTGTGACTGGAAACTAGGTAAGGTTCACAGACACCGGATCAGATTAGACGAGGTGTACACTTCCAGGGCCACCAAAAAATGAACGAATATCTCCCCCACCGGTTTTGGACAGTTTAGGAGCCATAGACAGTGATGGTGTAGACCAGAAATGAGCCGCCTTCTGAACAGGACGCGATTTTCAGACGCGTGACGACCGCAAGACGCGGGTGGCAGTGCACGTGCCAGTGGCTCTTGCCTCGAGGACGAGGGACGTGTTCCAACGACATCGACACTTAAGAAAGCAGGCCAGCGAGCGACCGGACGGCGATCTCCTCATATTTAATATCTCTCGGGAACCTGCATGATACCCTATCCTCGCTATGCAGATATCCATACCCCCTCAACCACAGCCTACTGGCACAGCTCTCGCCCAAGCAGGTGACAACGTCCTTGCAGTCAGTTGTGTCGCAAGCACGCAGAGATGGCAGCAAGACCTCCAAAGCCTCTTCGACCATGCCAAAGAGCGATTCCCCGACGTAGTATGGGAGCTTCAGGATGAAGATGGTAATGATAAACTTGACGAGGTTTGGGGTCACAAGGGTGAGCATCCTTTCTTTCAAGCTGACATCTAACTGAGCATTTGAATCATCCTAGCGATGGTGTACGCCCGAGCACCTCAAGCATTTCAGGCGCAATATTTCTCGTTTCGCCCTTTGCCTATGGCATCCCTGTCCTCTTACGATCTTGCGGGAGCAGAATCGTCGGTATCGCTGGCGTTATCCCTTCCTCCGGGGATGTTTCGGAGACCATCCTCGGGCTCTCCAAGGTCCTCGTCGCCCGCTGCGTCAGCATACACTCTTCCTGTCCAAACCGGGGTAACGGCAGCCTACGGTCCAACACAAAACGTGCCCGTTCTCAGACTGACAACGTCGATTGCGCCTGCTTTGTTTTCTGCTGAACTTGAGCACCTCTATACCGCCAAGGGGATCTCCGGAGAGGCGTTCGACTTTCATTTCGACTCTACAGTCGGAGCTATTGACTATAGATCAGCTGCAGCATCGGACGAAGTGCGTCTGGAGAAGTTGAGACACGATTTAGTCTTCATGTGGCGTTCGAAACTTTACTCCGACATCCGAATATCTCTCACCGGGCCCTTCTCATTTGGGGACGACGGTACTCCTACGATGCCCGACGAACATTCCTCGGCTGATAAGAATCCCGTGGACGAGACCGAGCAAATGGCCTTGTTCTCCACCCATCGATTCATTCTGATATCCCGTTCTCAGTATTTTCGGCATCTTCTTCTCAACCCCTCCTTTGCTCCGCCTGCAATATTGATGATCGAGACTCCGGAGACATCAACCTCATCTTCAGTCGTCGATAATACGCCGGCCATAAGTCTTCCTTCCCCCCCTTTCACCCCAGCATCCTTGCATTTCACCCTGGGATACATCTATGCTGGCACCCTATCCTTTTCCAACAGGACCTTCGACCTTTCAACTGCGTTTGCCATTTACCGATGCGCTATCTATCTTTCCATTACCACTCTTCAGGTTGAAGTAGAGACTCGATTAATAACCGAATTCTGCCATGGTCTGTTTTACGCGCATCTTCCTCTAGACGAATTCGAGCGAGCAGTGAAGGCAGAGGATCCTGATGGCAAAGACTGGGCTTTTGCTGGATGCAACTGTCGGGTATGTGCCAGGCGACTTCCTCGAGTGCTTACATTCGCCCTTGCATCCGACGTGAAGAATTCCATCCTTGAGCGAGGCGCTCGACGTGGACTTGTGGCCATGTTTGGCGAACCATGGTCATCTAAAGAGTTCCTTGCGTTTCCGTCCAAGACCCGAAGCGGTCTTGCGAAGACTGTCACCAGCCGTGTGAATCCACACACCGTCGTGCGACATCTCGGCGCAGTTCGCGCTCTTCGAGACGCCGGAGCCTCTCAGGGTTATTCGAGGGACCTCGAAGAGCTGGCCAGTCTTGTGGAAAAGAAGTGCAATGAGGTCACGGCTTCACAGGCATCTGCACTCTTCAGAACCCACAGTTGGCTCGATGCGCTCGATGGCGTTGGATTCTCTCGAATGGACACTGTGGAAGACGTTCTCGCGTCCTTCATTCGCGGATTGACGGAAATAAATGTCGCCAATGCGTACGAAGCACTTGTTGGGGAAGTCTTACTACGAACGAACGAACAAGGGGACGTTGTTCTACCTCAGGGAAGTGATGTGAGGAACAAGGTGGAGGAGACGAGGAAACAAGTTATATCTTGGATAAAGAAGCGTTTGGCGGGCGTTCGACTCGTTGGGGGGTTTGACCTGTTGGAGAGTTGGAGTCTGAAGGAAATATCTGACGAACTGGAAGTGCAACCAGAGGAGCTCATAACACCACACCCTATACTAGTTCACGCCACATCAAAATCGCGAAGCTCCACCCGTCCAGCAGTCGTTGCCCCAGCACTTTCAAATAGAGTCGTTGCGGAGGATGCTTCGGAAACGTCTTCAATAGCTGCTCGACCTCGCATTGCTCCTCGGACTAGCACAGTAGCCATTGGGGCAACGGTCACCGCACCTCGGGCTCCAAAAGCCCCGTCCATGGTCTCTTCTGTCGCAAAGGCGCCAGTGAGGCAGCTAGCTGCTGCGGCCAGACCACGTCCGACCGGAGGTGCCTCTCCCTCTGGAAGATCCCAAGGAGTGATTCCGAACTCCTCACAAGTCTCTATAGCTACCACTGTCACGAGAGATGCTGGCCACACTTCGATCAAGCCTGCAACAGCACCAATCGTTCAACCGTCGACGTCTCAACAAGAGGCAGGTGCTTCCCGGCCATCAGCCGCCATCGGAAAGCCCAAAGCCCTTGCCTCATCTGTGTCATCCATTCGTTCCTCAGCCTCTACCCTCCGCAAGCCCCCAGCCACCCTAACAACACCAACCAACCCTCGGGGACTTACAGTCCCGAGACCATCTTCTGGTCAATCTATCCGCAGCGACAGACCATCCACGAGTGCCCACAGCAACGTGGGGAAATTGGACCCTCCAGCAATGCGGGCCCGCAAATTATCATTCAACTCCGCCGTGAGTTCGGTATCTGCACCTCGGCCACGCCGTGTGTCGACTGCAACCACTGGTTCAGTTGTTACCGCCAAGAAGCCCCAAACCCCCTCGCCCGGTGTGCTGAAAAGGCCTCCGTCGATTACGAGCGTTCGCACTACTGCTTCGGCCGGTAAAAAATCGATCTCTGTCAAGATTCCTCCAAAGGAAACGGCAGCGCCCCCAGTCCCGCCCGTACCTGTGGTGATACGCTCGTCCACTCCCACCAAACGTGCGACAGTACCAACCAAAGATCTCACTGGAAGTCCTCGCACAATAGCCTCTATTAGCACAACCGCGTCGACTGTTCGGGGAGGATCCCTCAAATCTCCAACTACCACCGGTACGCTAGGCATCACCCTGAATGTGGGTATTCCTTGCGTAATCACATCACGACGTGCCAGATATCGGGCATACGCGCGGTACATCGGTGAGGTGGCAGGGTTGCCTGGTCAATGGGTCGGCGTCGAGGTTCGCGTGGGTTCGGATGTCGATAAAGTGGATGCCCGCGAGTGGAACGATGGATCTGTCGACGGTGTCCGTTACTTTTATCTAGGTGGCGGCATCGGGGATGAAGAGCCTGTCGAAGAAGAGAGGGTAATCAAGCGACGGCGGCTTGATTTACTTGGAAGCATGCACTCTACTAGTTCCACGCTGAGTCTCGTAAACGACCGGAAGGGTGCTGCGAGCCCTGCGTTTTCAGAGGCAAGCACTGCGGCAACAGGCTTTGAGGGCAGAGGCCTTTTTGTGCGCCCTGAGCAGGTTATCCTCGTGCAACATGCACAAACACTTTGATTCTATACCGATGACCATTCTACCACCTTTGGCTACCACTCAGTGGCTATACCTTCTTCACCACGTTGTACCGATGCTCCATCTTTTGGACAAATCCTGCTAAATTCATTGTCATGTATGCTTGAGTTCTGTGATGTGGAACCTGTCAGTAAATACCGTACCAGCGTTTTATGACTAACGACGAGACATTTTACAACACATCTAATGAATGAGTAGTCTATTATGATATTCATATCGTCCATCATATCGTCCTTACTACGAGCAAAGCACGAGACATGCACTTCCAACTCTTCTCAGCGATAAGACCTTATTGCCATGTGCTGACCCTCCTTATCCTCAAATCGTATGCCTCGTCGCCCGCCTCGCTTGGCAATGCGTTCTGTGAATGTACGATACGTGGACCCTTCGAGAGTGAGTTCGTCCAGTCTCGAGTTGGTAAAAGAGCCCGGGATGTCCACGCATCGGATTCGCTCAAGTTTCGGATATTTGAAGAGTATCCTTAAGATAATTTCCACTCTTTGCAAATGATCCACCATGTCAGGCGACGACTGGGGCAGCCGGAGTTGACAGCAGGAGACACGACGGAGGTGGTCATGACTTTGCGGCAAGCCACTTGGTTGACAAGCGTACAGATTGAAGGCAAATTCTTGCAAATTCGGACAGTGGGCAAGGATCGCTGACGCCATTCCCTTCTTTCTGTCCAACAGCCATATTCCGTCGCTGAGCTCCACGGATAACAGTTGAGATCCATGTAAGCGGAAGAACCGGTCGACCTCTAGTAGCAAGGAGTGTGGATGCAAAGCTAGGTTGGTTGTTTCATCGGCGATATACACCTTGCGCAGATTTGGGAGATGTAGGCCGCTGAAGAAGGCCATGTATGCTGGATGTCCCGTGACCCATGAGAAAGACTGCAGTCGGACAGCCTCCGTTATGGTGCACGCCGATGCCGGGACTTGCAACGGCCATCCTTCCAGGTTCCAACAAGCGCACTCGAGGCTTTCCAGTCGTGGGCACTGCGCGAGAAGCTGGGTGTACAGATGCACGGGGTGCATCTGCTTGCCAGCAATGTAGACCTTGCGTAGAGTGTTTCGACATGCATGAAGAAGCGTGCAAATGAGATCATAGCCAACATGATAGCCTCCTCCGTGGACAGTCACCATGACAGGACTTTCACAATAGAACTCTTCTAGGAGAGTGCAGTGGGATAGGAGGGCAAGACAGGCTTGACGCTTGTCGAGCCATTCGGGACCTGCCATCTGGAAGACCAGGCGCCTGACTGACAGTCCGCGGCTGGATCCATTGAGCGTCCGCGACAAGAGCAGCGAAAGTCGATATGGATCTTGTTTCCTAGCGTTTCTCATGCGAATCCATTGGTATAGACAGGGCTGCATGAAGGAATGCCAAGTGCGTGATACGATGGTGAATCGAAGGATGTCCCTGATGGCGGCCGCTCGTTGCAGGAGAGCCTGGTGGTCGTATGCGTTGATGCTTACCGCATTGCTGACGCTGGGACGAGCGGCCTGTGTAGCGCAGCTCAATATTTCAATCCAGATTTCGACAGGGCACCTGTCTAGGGCCGTACCGAGGCTGTTGTCCATCGGACTAAGGACTGGATTCAGTTGATAAGAGGCGGGTACTGAACTCTGCAAATACCTAGACAGTGAGCGAGCTGGTAACGAACGCACTCGCCACTTGCCTCGAGCTTTCTCTCTTTTGGGTCTCGACCAGCAGCCACAGTGTCAACATCTGATAGCGATTTTGCGCGGTCTATCCGCGGAAATAAGCGACAGTGACGGTTCTCTCATCAGGGTCGGTATTCTCATCAAAGTACTGTACAGGTACTCATCACCTGACCGCGAAGGTACTTGCGATTGTGATCTGACTAGTCCAGCTGAGATGGGCGGCAAGCATCTAGCTCGTAGACAGCGACATGTGTACACAGGATATATACAGCAATAATTATTAATCTTCTATCAATGTAAACCATGCAGCCTTTAAGTCCGACGCGTCCAGACACGGCCATTATCTCCGAAACAAGCACACCACTAGTGGACATATTCCCAATCAATTACAAGTGGACAAAAAGAGCAAGCTGTAACAGTCTCAAGGTATAGCTAGTATCAATTTTCCGGTAGACGATAGTTGGAACGTCCCTATTTCATAGAGTTCTTTATCCGATGGCCGGTCCGGGTCGAACCTTCGGAGCTCAGGACATTCATCGTGGCATTTGTGAGCTGTGGCAAGATGAAAGTCGACTAGGCGTAACTTTCCATATTTGTCCCGCAGAACATTGCCGGGCAATACATCATCGTGTCGAAAACCGTGGGCATGAAGACTCCGAAGCAGGTCGAAGACTTCTCGCTTCACCCTGATAGTCTATTGAACACCTGGATAGAGCGGCAAATAATGAAGTCACGTACCCGGGGTCACGTAAATTTTTGAGCGCTTCTCCAACATCAGAAAGTACCAGTGCAGCTTTGGTAGTGCTTCGTGCAAACCGTAGACTTCCGGGACTGTCTCATTCCACAAGGACCGAATGGCAAGATAGACGTCCAGCTCATGCTCGAGTGATGACAAATTTTCGATATCCACCACTTTCGCCATAACCTTTCGGTCGCCCAACTCGGCATGATAGACCGTACCTAAGATGCCGTTGCCCGCCTTGCTCATTAACTTGAGATCGAGTACGGCCTCTTGTCCAACCATGTCAACTGCAATTTCGTCCACATAGAGAGGGGTGTACTCGGGAGTGTCAGAACCATCGTGCCCATCCACAATGACTACGGCGGGGTCGGTTGATGAGGGCTCGTGCACGGAGTGTAATCTGTGCATGTCCTTCTCAGGCGGGGTCGGACACTCTGCAACGCACTCTCTGCCTTGGTTAAATCCGGATGTGGGAGGGGCGTCGTGTGGTGGCGCGCGTCCAAAGACACTTTCGTACTGGCTGAAGTTGTCCTCGATTGCAACACGAATTGAAGGATCAAGATGCGTCCATTCATAGGCACACCTGCCGTTGCGTGCACGATATAATTGGAACAATTCCAAGCACAGAAAGGCCCGTTGTTGGTTCAGCGCCTGGAGCGAGTCAGCACAGTTATTTCAGAACATTTTTAGGCGGTGACATACGGTGTCACTCAATACACCGACAAATAGCTCGTTTGCGTCTTCTCCTTGAATGCAAATTACGAAATTTTCGTCGGAAACGAAAGCACCTTCGCTCAGCCCTCGGTCCCAAAACGTGGACCATATCTATGAGAATGCAAGTACGAGGCACCACTGAGTGACAACTAACACACCTGAACCAACGCGTAGTGGGCTTGATTCAACTCTCTTGTCTTTGCGTTGGAGCAACCCCATTGCTTGGTGTCAACAAAGTGAAATAACGGCCAGTGGAACTCGTTTGCCCCAAGGGATTGCGAAATGTGGCTGAATTTGATCAAGTTGTCGGGGGAAGCGAACCACTTTCTCATCAATGTCACAATGTTTGCGAGGACGGAACGTTTCTTGACCTCGATGATGTGCAGTGGTATCAGGGTACCATCTGCGCGCTCCGTCAGGCGAACAATGTCAGGCTCGCTGCCATTATAGTAAGCTTCGGGAGTGGATACTGGGATTGTTTTGGTAAGCGCAGAATATATAAGTTCGACCGGACTCAGCAGGTAAGCGTCGACCCAAGCAGAAGTAGCGGTCTCGCTGCTGCCCCGAATCCAGCTCGGATGGTGGATCAATGGAGCGGGGATCCTGTTTATGGGAACCACCGTCGATAAGGAATCCCCTGCCTCTTCGATAAGCTTTTGGGCGACGCTGAGAACTGACTGAGTCGATTCGCGATAGTTTTGCATGATCGGAGTCGCATCAAACACTGTCCGAAGTTGTCGAGACATGTCGATCTCCCTTTCATGCTTTGAGGGCAAACGGGTGGCCAACCCTTCGGCACCAGATGTCTTATCACACGGCTTGAGAGGCCACGGTTTTCCGTCTAATACGTTCTCCAGAGTAAGCTCAGAATTCAATGGTAGTGGCTCTCGGAACATAGGGGTCTTTATGCGGCGGACTGGCTTCGTTGGTGTTGTCGTCCCGTTCGATTGGGAGGCCAGGTATCGTCGAAGAAGGACCCCACGTCTGAGCAGCATGTCGGATGCAGTGCGTGGTGAGCATACGGAACATCAAAGAGACAGCATCGCTATGTGATCGATTGTGGGAGAGCTTGCTGGTGAGAACCCCCGCCCCACTGGTGGCAGGTCTGAGGGACGAAATGGGGGATTTCTGCATCCGCGTGGCTGTGCTTTTCTTATCGGACATGGAAAATAGGTCCAGAGATGCAGAGGATCAATACAGAAAATGGACACAGATACAGGATAAGCAAGGATAGGATACAACGGTAAGCCAGAAAGAGTACGAGGGGCGGGGGTCACTTGTCATTCATCGGTACAGGATCGACGACGGTCTCCATCCACTCCGAGACATCGTCCAGTGGCAACGCATTTGCTTGGTCGAGTGCCTGAAAAGAACGTCAGATGGGACAGAAGGGTACTCCTGTTGACTGACCTCATCGAGGTCGTTTAAGTAAGTATCCAGCTCTTTCGAGAGTTCTTTCCGTGCGCCTTGCTTTTCTTGCAACGACGCAAATAATTGGGCATTTTCGTCATCCAACTGGGAGATTCTGAGCCCAAGCGCTGGATGCACGAATGACATTCCACTCACCTCCTTAAGGAGTAATTCCAGTCGTTCTTTCTCCTCTCGTAATACCCTCCCCGTCCTTGCATGAACCAATGCCTTTGGCGTCAATCCCTCCTTCCAGACATCCAGCCCATCGGTGTTCCCCTCCTTCACGCGCTCCTTTGCATCTGCAATCACAGCAGCGAGAGCGTCGATCCCATCTGCGGCGCAATACGAATTAAGGACAGCGGTGGACTGTTCGACAATCTGGTCGCGGATGTGTTCACCAACTTGGATGCGAACTTGAGCGACACCTTGGGGAGATTCTTTTGCCCACGTCGGAAAGCATTGAGCGAAGTCTTCCTCTCTTTAAACAGCGTCTGGTTAAAAGAGTGGTGCATTTGAATGAGAAGCACGCACGTCCACTTCGTGCTCAACTTATGTGATGCGAGTTTGAGCGCTTTGTAAAAGTACTCGAATCGTTTGGAGTGCCCTTCTGTAGGATCTGTAGGATGCGTGATCACGTTTTCCTCTGACTGTTCCCCTTGCTCTCGCGCTGGTATTGAAGGCTGAGCTGACATGGTGGTGCAAGATGTGGACGCGAAGCGCCCGACGCGTTGACAATCACGTGTTGTCAAAAGGGGGCGGAATCTTTTCTTCAGGGCACACTTGCAACAACCACCATATGTTGTTTTCAAGAACCCAAAATCTTCGGTGGTGCCTCTGGCAGACACGCAATCCGTTCATCTACCATTCAGCCAATGTGTCACGGAGACATCAAACCACGCAAATTGTCAAGAAGCCCATACACACTTCCGCAACAAATGTCCCCTTCAGAATACAGTTCTTCGGCAGCGATGAGTTTTCGATCGAGGTTCTGAAGGCCCTTCTAGAGGCCAGAGGTAAAGGGCTGACCTCCGGGTACGAACCGCTTCTCATGCATGTGGGTGACTTTTTAGATGTTTATCAGTCTATCAAAGTCATCCACACTGGTATCAAGGCACTGCCCAGCCAAGTTCACAAAGGATGGGACATCTCGCAGACCTATACTCGTGCGTAAAAAAAATAAATCATCACTTGCGTTTCTGATGCATCGATTCAGCCGAAATTCTGAACTTTTCACAAGCTCAGAATATAATGCATGAAGAATATGACTCATCCATCAGTCTTTCTAGTTCAGTAAGTGAAGGATCCTATACAGAGCTTGATGCTGGATAACTGAAAGGACCTTAGCATCCCGGACTCCCAGCGAGAGAAGAGACCAGGTCATCAGAACTATCTCATCTGGATCAGCCATCGCTAGTGGACGACATGAAGAGAAGGAAGGACCCGTTAGAAGGAGGGGACATGATGGTGGTAGCTTCTTTTGGACGGATACTACCCCCGGAGCTGTTGAACCGCTTTGCCCATAATCGCCGACTCAATGTGCACCCGTCCCTGCTTCCAAAGCTTCGCGGTGCATCCCCTATCCAAATGGCTATATACGAGGGTCATGCCAGAACTGGGGTGTCGATCATTGGAGTGGAAGAGAAAGTGGACGCTGGTGCCATCTGGGCTCAAGATCCAATTGTGAGTACATTAGTCCAGTTGTGACACGTGATTACTCATGCGTGTAAGGGCGTATATTCTGATGATACATTCCTGAAACTTCGAGCCAAACTTGGAGCATTGGGAGGACGATTACTGGTCGATGTCCTGCGCAAGATGTTGATCAATCAGGTATGAGGGATGATCGTTGACTCCAGCCCATTCAAATACCTGGCAGGCCGTCAGTCATCCACAAGGGAGTGGGGCAACATATGCGCCTAAAATCACCGACAGTTTATCGAAAGTAAACTGGAACACGATGACCGCCACCCAGGTGTCACGTATTTGGCGAGCAATTGGGCATGCTGTAATTTGATTCCTAGAAATGCTATATTGTCCGCTGAACCCGTGTCTCTAGCATCCACCGAAATCCACCTTCTTATCAAAGAACGGGCAGTACAAGACGTTTCGGATGATTGGTGTTCAAGAGGTACAGAACCCAGTTGCCGACCTCAAGAAACCCGGCTCTGCCACCTTTGTCAAGAAAACAGCTATGTACCACGTGCGCTGTGCTGAAGGGACTGAAATTGGGTTCAAGATTGCCCATACTGAAGGCGCAGCGATGGCTGGGGTAAAGCAATGGCGAAATGGGCTACCAAAAGCTGTCATGCGATTTGGCAAGAGTTCTCCAAGCGAAACGGACTACGAACCCCAAGAGTATGATATCATCCATCCCCACCGGGCGGGACCTTCTCCTTTTTACACCCAGGCAGTGCCGCTATAGTGAGTAGTATTGTCTGTTACGTTTGCAGTTCTAACATGATGCATCCAGATATACTACTGTGCTTATCGGAATGGAAGCCACACATGGTATGAGGCGAACATAGTTGTTACCCAGCAGGGCAAGTAACCCATGAACATTGGGCAATAATGGATTACAGTGGGTTCGACTCTGTACTGGACGATGATGTGGGGTCATTGGCCGGCAGCTCCATCCCGTCTTCTTCACATGGAGGGTCAGATCCATTGGAGCTGCTGTCCTGGTGGATCGGCATTAATGCAAAGACAAAGCGTATCGAAAATGAGGTCGGTCATAGTACATAATCGGTGGAGATTATCCTCAATCACTCCCCATTAACCGCAAAAGCACATCTGTCGCTGCTTCGGGCGCAATGACTGGGATTGCGGGAGCGCGATGGGTCGCGGCGACTACGAGCCGTGCCAACACTTCACCCAGCTCGACGACACAGGCAACGACGATAAGCCAAATAATGATCCACGTAATCCGATGCATCGCATCATTGTTGAGATGTTCGTGGATAATATCCAGCAGATCACTTGCAACGCTCAACCGATCATTGAGCACCTGTACGCGAGACGAAATTTCAAAATAGTCACGGATGGCGTCGTACAGCTCCTTGAGCGAGGCTTCAGACCAGAAGAGCTCCGGTGTGTCGAGCACGTTCGAGCGCAACATCACGTCACCACGCACTTTAAATAGGCGACCGGTCATGCGCAAGGCTTGTTTTCGCGAGAGGACGAGCCGGCCCGTAGATGCCAGTAAACGCGGTATGGGTAGCGAGGATGATAGAGTGTCAGATGTTGACGCTTCGAAAAGCGAAAGCTTGGTTGACTGAGCAATGGCGTGTGCAAGAGAAAGCTAGGTTCGGATGAGTAAGGATACCGTCATATCTGAGGATTGCGCACTTTCAGAAGATGTGAATGTGACTTGAACGTGAAGAAATCATTATATATGCGCGGACTAGCCACTGTTGGGTCGTACTGAGAGTGGAATCAGTCTCATCCATTATCCTCAGTTTAATGAACTCACCACAAAGTGGCATTCTTCAATTTCCCAATTCTCTTCTTTGAGCTTCTTCACACAAACCCCAGCTTCCTCGAGATCTTCCAACACTTTTCTTTCTTGATGTTCCTCAAATCCAAAGAAAACGGTGACACCGTAGTCAAAGAAGACAGCTTCAGCAATATTTGGATCGTTCTCGGCTTCAGTCAAGTTCATCTTGGCCAGTGTTCTGTGCCGCTTTGCGTCTCTCGGGGCTGGCGCCCTATGTGGAGACATCGTCGTGGTACTACGCAGATCGGGCGGGCTTTGAACCTGTTCGGAAAGAGACGGATCGAAGGCGTTCGGAGTTCTGGGAGACGTGGAAATGAATCCGTCTGACGAGAACGGCTCGCGGGAGGATGTGGATGCGAAGTATGTCCCATCGTAGTCTTCTTCGTGAGAGAGGGAGGAAAAGGATGCTCGAGAGGGAGAGCTCGGAGCCGGAGCACTCCGAAGGTTGACATTTGGTCCGTACCCGGGTAGAAGCGGGAGATGGTATACCTGACGGGTCATTAGCATGTATCCATTGAGGACAGCGGGATTCAATAGCGTACGGCATAGATCGCTTCGTCAAACACTCTTGGTGTCACGCCGTGTTCCCGCTTGAGGAACGCAATCAATGCCCTGCTCCTGTAGCTCTCTGCTGTCGCGTACGCCGTGATTCTCTTGAACCCTGCCCTTTCTCGCTGCTCCTTGCTCATGCGTTCCCCCTCGCTACGCGCTTCGTGCTCGGGCGGTGGTGGACTTGTGCTTGGTACAGGCGCGGTCTGTACGTCCTCCGGGAGTTCCACCAGTTTCTGGCTCGTCTTGCTTGTCCGTCCGGGCACTTTTGGAATCGTGCCAGACGCGGTGCGCTGCATGGCCGTGTTGCGCGGATTCGAACGAGGGAGTGGGAGTGCATTCTCGGGGATGGGATGAAGGAGTGTGAGAGACAGGGAAGGCCGACGCGGTTGACTCGACTTGGTGCGTGAGGGAGGGGAGGGGCGCTGTGGTATTCTCGACGGAGGGGTTGTAGCTGACATGGTCGTCGTCACTGAAAGAGCGAGAGTGAATATAAGAGAAGCACGTGGTCAAGAGCGCTCTTTGGTATTGTGGTAGTGGCAGTGCCGCCGACGTCAGTGCTTAAATCACGTGCATATTCACCATACACATGTGACCGTACGCGTGCCTACATGAGACCGCGTTGGAACGACACCTTGCTCTCATACCACCACAGTCCGTAAACCCGCGCCTTCTCCTTCTAGGATGACTTTCCTCTTTCTTGCTTCTGTATCTTTACTTCTACATATACGAGAGGTAATCATAAAGTGTTGAGAGGTCAACACTGTATACCGAACATAAACCTGGACGCGAACTCGAACTCATTCCTCCCGCTAACTGACGGTCAGTGAGTTCTGTACGTTCGTGATGATTTCATTACACGCATATGACTGCTGATTCCGATTTTGAGTTGTTATAGCGATGGCCAAGGACGAGTCTGTTCCCATCTCAACCGAAGGTGAGGGCCTCAACTGTCCAGAAGACCAGGCTAACCCTCTCTACCTCTCCAATTGTCGATGATAAGTCGTTCCCATCATATTCTATTCTCCATCCATCAAATATGCCTCATAAGCACACCTCAAGAGGTCCTGCTGGATAGCATATAGCCAGCCAGGCCATCCCGAAGTATGCCTCACTGGTATCGGCTGAACTCGCACGCTCAATCCATCAACCCCAACAGACTGAAAGCTCCAGCACATAGCTTCCGCCTAGAACACTACGGAGAGAAGGCTAAACGTCCTGTAACGATACAGCGAAGTACCGTGTTTCCTTGTGAGTCTTGTTATTCCTATCATCCTACGACCTGATGATTTGACCAGCTATATGCGCCACAGTAAGATGAGAATCCAATGCGTTGTATGACGGGGCAGAAGGGGATGTTGTAGTTCGCAAACACACCTCTGCGATTCAATGACCCAGCTGCACTTTGACACATCTACCCGCCACCCTCCGACCGGTGCACCTTTCTTGAGCGACTTCCTTGCCCAATCGGTCGGTGGATCCCGTGGCCCCCTTTCAGCTCGGAGAAGACCAAGCGCACAGGATCGGCGCCTAGCTGACAGTGGGGAGAGAGAAAGGATGTGAGCTGTATCTGAGGCCGTGGGAATTGTGCGTGTGGAGCAGGCGGAAAGCGGGGATGGGGTGGCCATTTGCTGATGACAGTCATATTGTCAGGGTCGCTGGAAGATGATATGGTGCGTTTTGTGCATTCTGTAGGGGAAAGTACGCATTGTGATGAAGATGAGAAATAGCGGCCGAAATATTTGGAGTATGTGCAGGTCAGGCTTTCCAATCGCTACCGAGATATCAACCACACACACGTACCTCCCTACTCGCCCGGGACCATCTGGCCTCCCTCACAACTCGCTCACGACTTTCATTGTTGTCCCCACAACAGCCAAGTTGGGATCTTTGGTATCCATTCTTCTGCATCGACCACACTGGTCACTCATGTGGACCTTCAATTTGCTCCAATGATTCATTCATCCTTTCTTTCTCGATCTCCCGCCTTGAGAGCTCGTCTCCTGGCAGCTACTTGGAGAAACACCCTCCCGACGTCTCGCCTCGTGGCGCATCTCCAGTCTACCCCGTGCGCCACCTTCACCCCCCACTCCTTCGCAAGTCCCAGAGCATGTCGCGTGACATGTGCAGGCGAAGGCCACGCAGCAGTCCGTGTCGTAGGAAGGGAGAAAGGCGGAACGGGTCCGAGAGCTCGGGTGTAGTGGTCTATATACTCCTGAAGCTGTGGTTGCGAGAGGGTGAGGAGGGATTTCCCGGCGTGAGGCGGGGGAGGGAGGGAGAGGAGGGGTGCGCTCGCCCACAGATGCTTGGCGAGAAGGAGTCTATGAGCCTTTTTGCTCTCTTCCGTCCCTCCTTCCACCTTATCTTCACTCTTTTCCCTTCCGCGCCAATGCCTCTCCAATGACTTGACCTTCTCATTTCGTTTCACCCCGAGCATGCCCCGCCAGCCTGGAGGACGGCGAGCAAATGGATTTGTAGGGGAGCGGAGGGAGGCGGGAGTCTGGATGCGGGGGAGACGGTGGTAGGGAAAGAGGACAGCGGGTGGCTTGAGGTAGGGGTGTTGGGTGGGTTTGGGGTCGTTCGCCGGGGACGCGGAGGGGTGAGTGCGGGTTGCAGTTGAATACCGGGAGAGGGTGGAGCTGATGCGAGGAAACGCTGGCAGAGCCGGGCTAAGATAGCAGGATCTTCTAGGCTGTCGGAACAGAGCCAGGGGGAGAGGGCGTGCATGGGCCATCCCAAGCGTCGTGTAAAGTGTTGGACAACAACAGTACTTCCAACAGGTACGCATTCGCCACTGGGGTACGGAACCGAAGATCTTCCGCCTTCCTCTTGGATCAAGTTTCCTGGTAAGGGATTCTCGCTAGTGCTCCTCTTCCATTAATGTCGCTCCCTCGCTCACTTGGCCGCTGTTTCTCATCTTCAGCACGATGCTTACTTCCTCCACAGAACGGACAAAACGCACCCTTTCATCTTCCACCAGCCCTCACAGCATCGCTACCATCAGCAGATGGACACTCGGCACTACCAAAACCCTTCCCGGAACTGCCTTCAGACCACCAAATCCGTCCTCGCCAAACTAACCCGGAATTATCCCCGCTCTCTGCCCGCTCCGCACGCACAATATCCACAGCCTCATCAGCCGATGCAGCTTACATCCTTTCTCTCTCCCAGCTCTCAGCTGCCGTCGCGCGCCGCTCTCGAGCGCTCGATCTTCCCCAGGCTAAAACGGGACCCTGGGATCTGCCGAGCGAGAATCAGCTTGAATTGGCGAGGAGATTGCTTAAGAAAGGTGTACCAGTTGGAGGGTTGCGGGTAGATATGTCAAAAACTCAATTGGGTAATTGGATCGCTGAGGTAAGTTCCCTGAATATATCATCCCTTCCCCCCTTTTATCGTTGATTTCTATGACCCAGGCAAAAAAACATGTCCCACCTGTCCACCGGTCAAAATCTGTGCACCTCACTGAGCCAGAACTCGTAGAAGCATACACGAATCTCGGATTTTCCTTTCCAGACGAGTACGAAAAGCTCATCCCCCAGGAACGGGGACACTGGGTGCGTCGAGCGAGGGACGTACGTACTTCCGTTTGCTCTGTATGCACGTCACCACCTCCTGACTTCTGGTAGCTTCTCGGCATGCCTCTCAATCCTATCCAAAAGGGACAGCGCGCAACCCGACGCGGTCTGGCGCTCGCCCATGATCTCTCCCGCGCCCTCTCCCTCCCCTTGCCCTTCTCCCCATCCAACGCAACCCGTGCTGAAGTGTCAGAATACATCACTTCCGCCCGCCTTCTCGCTCATGCAAAAGACATTCCAGTACTCCGCCAGATCAAGCAAAAGAACGAAGATCTCGAGGCGACAGGACATTTGCGCAGGTTAGCAGAGAGTCTGGGAATCAACAGCAAGGGTAAGAAGGCTAAGGAAGTACATGGGGAAGTGGAGGCTAAGCTCAAGAGTGGCATGCAGCGGCGGCGGGAGGAGACAGAGAGTGAGAAGAAGGGAATGGGAGAGTTGGCTGCATTCGTAAGAAGCTTCGAGGAAAGAGGCCCAGAAGAAGAGGAGCGTGCAGACGAGGCGCTGACGAATTGATTTAGAAGATCTGTTGTCTACATCAGCTACGACTTGCAAGATGCTATTCCTTTTCATTCGCTCTTCGTACAGTCATTATCGACATTCTATAGTCCTGCGGTCACTGAGCCGAACACTTATTTTTGTCCCTCTATGCTGCCGACTCTTCATCATCTCTATTCGCAAGCATGACCTCGATCGCTCGACCCTCCCTGACCCCACTTGCCCATGCTCCGTGCACGCTTGCATACTCATCCATCTCCGTATGTTCTCCAGCCCAAAATAATTTGCCGAAGAGCGGCCGGCTCAGCTCTATCATGTCGAGCGCGCTCGGCACTTCCGCTCCATCCTGCTCATGCACGTCGGAGGGAGAGGGAGGGATGTAACTGTACGACCCGAGAGCATAAGGATCGTGCGCCCACCCAGTCCGCACAATCTTTGCTGGTTCTGGTGGCTCCTGATCCGGGCTGAAATAGCGCTTTACCATTCCCCTCGCCCAACTCTCGACCTCCACATCGCTCATCGTTTCCAAGTTCGTGCCTGCCGTACCTCCTAGGAAGAAACAAAATGCCGGTACTTGCTCAACGGACCACATGTTGAGCGTGTAGATTCCTTGGGGGCTCTCCGGGTTGCCCAGTGTGTTTCCAGGATCGGAAGGATCGGGGAGGAGAAAGAAATTGTCGTTGGTGTGTGTCTCCGCCCACCAGGCTGAGGAGTACAGGACTTGGACCTTGTTTAGCAGGCCGTGACCAAGTCGGGAAATAGAGGCGAGCCGGCGCGGAGGGAGCGGAGGGGTGAAGAGTCTTGCCGCACGGGCCTTGAGGACACCGAGTGGGAAGGTGATCAAACAGTATGGAGCGCGATGTGCACGCGTTTCCTCCGTGCGTGTGCTCTTTGTGTTCACTTTTACTGCTCTGCTCAGTTATTTCACTTCCGAGGAATGTCCAGCTCACCCACCTCCGTTACCATCAACAGTAACGTGTACGACCTCCTCTCCCAGCCTCACCTTCCCGCCCTTCTCTAGCACGGTTCGCTCACACCACTCTGCAAGCTTGATGTACCCGCCCACGACAGCCGCATCCGGACCTTTCGTATCCCTCTCGAACCCCCACCACCTGTAGCTTACCTTGGTGAGGTCAGCGCCTGTCCATCCGGACCAGGAACGCGCAGCGGCAGCGACTTGAAAGCGAGAGAGGGAGTCCGTGGGGGGGATGTTGTGGTAGAGCGGAGAGGAAGGGGTGAAGAGTGCAGTCGCAAGGGAGGCGGAGGAGGGAGGGGGAGAGGAGTGCTGAGACGTATCCCGGAGGTGGAAGAAGACTGTTTCGTATGCCTGGACAGACGATGAGTGACGAAGGATACAAGGGAGAAGGGGTGTAACATACGTTCCCTGCGATGACTTGCTCCTTCTCGGGCGGCAGTGTCTTTCCCTGATGATCCCTCACCGCACCAGATCTTTCTTCCAAAACCTTTGTCGGCTGGGTAGTACATCAGCCCTGCGCTCTTGATACTAACGAACAAAGCAGACTCACCAGCCCGATCTTCCTTGCCACCTCCCACACCGGGTTTCCCCATACACCATGGATGAAGCTCGCGCCGAGTTCAGCAACACCCGGGCCAAAGGGGATCGTATGAATCCTCCCGCCGATCCTGTCGCGCGCCTCGAGGAGGAGTACCTTGCGCCCTTCGAGGGCGAGGTGGCGAGCTGCTGCAAGTCCGGAGATACCAGCTCCGAGGATGAGGACGTCTGCCTCGAAGGTCGGGAGATGAGAAGGAGGGGAGGTAAAGGCGTACATGGGAGAGGAATTGGCGGGGATCAGACGTTGCATTCCTGTCTTCTGTACACAGTACTAGTCTCCGACTCAGACGATCGGGAGAGCAACCTCGATCAACCTCGATCACTGCTGACGTAAGCATAAGCGGGTGCATTTGAGCGCCTGAATTATCTGCGAACGACCACTCTGCGAGACCTGTTGTCTTTGCCTTTCCTGGAGAAAACAACAATGTCCCGCGCCGTTTTATCCTCTTCTTCTCCCTTGGTTCCCCTCACCAAAAAGACCTCTCTTACCGCTGCGTTGCGCAAGCTCACACCTCCCATCCCTCTGCGCGAAAACGTGCGCAAAGTCGTCCTCTCATTCAACAAAGACGCCCACGCGTCAGCACGGTACGCTCCTCACCCTCCAGGTACTCGATGATGCTGACAAGGACGTAGGAACTTTGCGAGGGACATATACCCCCGGCTGGCGTTCTCCAACAAACATGTAGCATTTACCGTCTCTCCACTCCCGAAGCCTCCCCAACCGGACGCAGGCTCACCTCCCGAATGGCTCATCACGCTCGGTGCGCCCCTTCTTGCACCTTATCCTTCTGCAGCTTGCTTATACGATTCCTGCGTAGAGAACGGAGAAGAGAAGAGGTTACCATTGCCAGTGAGCGAGAGGCCTGGGTGGATACTCAAGAAACTTGTAGATGAGGCTGGAGCGACGCAGTGGGATCAGGAGATGTTGAAGAGCAGGGAAGAGGAAGAAGGGAGTAGGTAGCCTAGACGGAAGTGATGATATTTCTTGTTTATTCTCCCTTCAGTCGGGCGATCCGGGGGGCGGGTAAGAGTCTCCTACAAGGGCGCGGTAGTGTGAGTCTGAGGCATCGTCGCTCGGCGGATGCTCCCTCGGGCGCAGGAAGAAGAGAACGAGAATACGCGTCAATAGCAGAAGTCGCTGTCATCCTACCTTGATTAGAGGTGTGAAACGACCTCAATCAGATAGACGATCATTCGGTGAGCAGAGAAAGTTCATTACGTGCAAGGAAAAGTGCTTTTGGATACATGATACATCCCACCTCTCTTGACTGCCTCTCACGAGCACAGCGGCTTTCAACTCACACCCACTCCTCTCCATCCGAACAACCAGCGCGCCTCATCCAGATACGCCCGAACCACATACCAGACCAGACCAGACCATCGCGTCTTCTCTGCCCTGATCGACTATCCACCGAGAGCAAGCTCAGTCAGGCCCGTACCGGATAGGCTGTAACGGCTCGGCTCGCTGCTGGCTCAGGTCTAGAGACGCTTCTAGTTCTGTGTCTAGTTCTCCTACGAGGAGTCTATGTATGTCGGTCAGCTGGTGCAGAGACTCTGGACAGAGATAGGCGAGGATGGAGGAGAAAGAAGAACCAGGGAAAGGGGTAGGGGTAGGGAGGGAGGAGGAAGAGAGAGAGGAAAGGGAAAGCGAGGGAAGGGGAAGGGCGTACATCATATCCCCTTTAACGAGATACAACCCCAAGGAGACCTCTTCCACGGGTTCATCTGGGCTATACGTGCGCTCGATACAGTTCGACAAGACGATATCCGAGCGGTTGTCGAATCCTGCAAGGGTACCCTGTTGTGCGCGCATGAGTCAGAGTCAGAGTCGGTGCATGAGAGAAAGAGACGAACGACGATACATCTTCCGTCTTGAAGTATGAGGAGGACACGTTCTGTAGGATTGATGAGTGTGTGGGGGAGGGAGGGAGGGAGGGAGAGGAGGGACGTACGGTTTATATACCCGTTTAAGCTGGCCATCGGTGGCCCTCGGGTGAGGTGTTGGAGGGAGAGAGGGGGTGTGGGGCGCGGGTGTTAGTGGGTGATAATGCTGATGAGTGGCGATCACTTGAGTGAGAAGGGAAAGCGTGACTGATCGGAGAGAGAGAGATCGGCGATTGAGAGACAGAGGGAGAGATCAGCAATCGAGAGACAGAAAGGGAGAGAAACGGAGTGAACGAGATCACCGGAACGACCGAAAAACGAGACACAACGCGCCCTGTCATCCAGAATTAGGTGTTTTGCTATCATCATCTGAAGATCCTTCCTGTCCTTCATCCAAGGGCACGTAGCTCAGCGGTAGAGCGCTCGCTTAGCATGCGAGAGGTCGTGAGTTCGACTCTTACCCTGTCCAAGGACAACTCTCCTTTTGACCTTACGTCCTTTGCATACTTCCGCCAATTCCGAAAAACCGTAGTCACCAACACTCTGTGCTCATTCCTGAGCGTCATAATCAACGAAACGCCAAGAAACCCCCGATGTCGTACTCGGTCGGAATAACATATCTTCATATCTAAACGCAGCTCTACATTCCTCGGCCATTCACCCCTTTCGGGTAATCGGCCCGTGACTTGCCCTCATTATCATCGCTCCGGAGTCTCTGGCCCGAAACGGTTATATGATCATTCATGTGCTTAATGGGCGATATACACGCTGCTCTCCACCAGCGGAGGATGTCTTGCTTTATGGGGCACGGTCATTTCTCTCGTCCTCGGTCTGGCTGCCCGGTCTAATTCGCGCTACTTAAGACACTGGGGCCCCGGACTGTCTGACTCTCTGTTGCTGTCGCGCCTTTCTTTGCCGGTGTATCCCTGCTTGCTCTGTTGTATGAATAAAAATGTCGACGGTTGACGAGAAACTCACCAACTTGGCGCTCGAGAAGGAGTACAAGTTCCTCACCAGTATGTTCCACCTCGTCCTGTCATCCACTCTCCTAATACTTCGCAGAGGAACAAGTCCAGCATTTCATGCAAAAGGGCTACCTCAAGCTCCCACACGCGTTTACCAAAGACCGAGCCTCGGAATGGATCTCCGACCTCTGGGTACGCCTCGGCATGGACCCGGAGAATAAGTCCACCTGGACGCAGGAACGTATCCACATGCCGCACTTCCGGCGTGAGCTGGTGTCCGACTTCTGCCCCCAGGCGTGGGGGGCGATGTGTGAGCTTCTTGGAGGGCAAGAGCGCGTCAGCGAGGGAAGCGCGGTATGGAACGACGGGTTCATCGTCAACCTTGGTCGACCAGAAGACGAGGGCAAGCTGACAGGCCCGCGCGACCTGCCAGACTGGCACGCAGACGGCGACTTCTTCCTTCATTTCCTGGACAGTCCCGAGCAGGCCCTCCTCGTCATCCCCCTCTTTAGCGATATCCGCCCGAGTGGGGGAGCGACGTTCATCGCTCCTGAGGGAGTGGGGCACGTCGCGCGAAAGCTTGCGGATCATCCGGAGGGCCTGCAGCCCGGGCTGGGGGACAAGCCGGACCAATTTGATTTCCTGGCGTTGATGAGGCAGTGTGACGAGTTCGTGGAGGCTACAGGAGAGGTCGGAGACGTCTATCTGCTGCATCCGTGTGTCCCTTCCCGTTCGTGTCGCGTCACGAATCGTGCTGACAAGATCTAGCCTGATTCTCCACTGCGCATCCCGCAACTCCCTCCGCGACGTGCGAGTGATCACCAACCCCCCAGTCTCCCTGAACCAGCCATTCAACTTCAACCGTGCCAACCCGTCCGAGTTCAGCATCGTTGAACTCAAGACACTCCAGTCTCTGGGCGTCGAGCGGCTCGACTTCAAGCCTACTACTGAGAGGCAGCGGATCGTCCCCGAGAGAGTGAAGAGACAGCAGAGGATGAAGGAGCAAGAGATGGAACGGATGAAGAATGCCGGGCAGGAGGTGCCGAAGGCCAAGTGGACCCAGCCTGCTACGGGGATGGAACATGCCCAGGTGGAGTGAACTGCAGCCCCAGGAGATGAGAAGATGTCGGGTCTCGTCGGATTGAAGGCAACTGTAAAGCTGGCGAAGTGTTGTAATATGTACTCGAGAATTCTATCTTATCTCGGCGTTCGAGGGAAAATTGCGTCATCACTCGATATGTTTCTTCATCAACACTCCTGTCTCGGACGCGACTGTTCCATAACATGGAGTTCACAACCCAGGCCGTATGTTGGCAATCGGTCCACAGAAGCTTGCAGCTTGGGACGAGCCGCAGTTTCTCCGGTATCCCCAGCCTCGGCTCCGAGCAAACAGGTCATCTAGTGGCTGTACTTTATTTCGCGACTTCTAAATTTCCTGGTCGTGCGCGCCATCCTCTCAAAAAAAGCCCAACAATGGCCAGCCTCATCCGCTTTGCGTACCCGGTTGCTCGTACCCTCCCCCGTTCTATTCCATCACGAGGACTTCTCATCCTCCGCCCTGCCGTCTTACCCTTCCAGTCGCGTCCAACGGTTCGGTACTTCTCCGAGGCGAGGCAGACTGCTACTGGCGAGACTGCTGCTTCGGACAGCGAGGCCGTTGCTCCGGAGAACGAGGCAGCAGCGGGGGATGAGGTTTACCCCGAAGAAGTGGAAGCCGAACCCGAGGTGGAAAAACCGAGGCCATTGTCCGCCGCCCTGGAACAAATGGCTGCGGCAGAGTTGGTCCGACCCTCGATCGCCCAGCGCGGCTTGGCCAAGATACTCGTGGAAGCCGGAGCGAAGAACACTCATCTGTTACATGAGAACATGACCAGGAAAGAGATGCAGGAGTGGATTCATACTGTGCGTCTCCTCTAAGTTGTAACCCCATGAGTGGCGTCAAGTGTGCTGATTGGTCACTGCGCCATAGGCGGAAAAAGATACACCGATTCCTGCCACGAAAGGGCAAGTGAACCGGGCTTTCTGGCTGGTCAAGACTCACCAGATCAGCGGCGAGGGCTTGAAGGATTCTATGACGCACAAGGAGATGGGCGAATGGCTCGACGCTGCCGAAGTGGTGGGTTGTTTTTCCTCTCATCACACCACACACAATCGCTTGTTGTCTATCGTTCCTGTCGACCATGGACTGACACCGTTGACAGAAGAGGCGTAAAGGCATCGTACTGTCGCCAGAAGAACGCAGTCAGCCAGCTACATCCGCTCAGATAGCGCGCATCCAGTCCTGGCAACCCCATCTCCCCTCCTTCCGTCAACTAGACACATCCGTCGCCACCAAAGGCGAAGCACAAGATTGGATTAACGAGGCCAAAAACATCTTACGCGACGCGGGCAAGAGTGACATTATTGCGTCCATCTTGCCGGGGGAGGAGAACACTCCCGCATCGATTGGACAGATCAGGCTGGCACGGAGGTTGGGTGCAACTGTCAACAAGTCGATGACCAGGCTGAACCTCAATCGAATCATCGCCAAGCTCCTTAAGTCCAAAAAAACTCAGACCTTCCAGCCCAGTGCGGAGAGCTAGATTGCGTTGCCGATTTCGGCGGGAGGTTGTGTTGGGAAGTGCGATGTAAGGCTATATATACTCGTATGCTCTGTGCCCTGGGGCTCGTTCTAGTTCAGCTCTTTAGTCCATACAATTCATTCACAATGTTCTCTCCTTGCCCCCCACGGGTCACACGGTAATACAGAACTCACCTTCTCCACTTTGAACTTTCATCCGGAAGATGCGAAGGACGTTTTTCAGGGCCCTGCGAAGTATTACACTGCATTGTTAACACAGTCCGGTATCATTCGTGGGTTGTCACGTTAAGAAGTCCTACATATGACCGTTTCTTCATCCTTCAGCACTGTGGACCGTCTTGATGATTGAAGCTCGCTGAATTGCTCAACACGCTGAATTATCAACTGTTAGGAGAGGATGTACACCGGTGATCGCAGTCCGAACCACGAGTATTGACCGATATTGACGGGAATCGGGCGGAAGAATCCACTGGCTTTTCTGATCTGAAGAGTCGACTGCGGTGTAGCGACTGCTGTTCTCCAAGCTTTCGTACGCTCTTTTTCGTGGTGCGAGGGGGGCGATTACTTGAAAGAGCTCACAGGTCGATGACATCCCGCGCAAGTGATCTGCTCCAGTTCGACGATGCCCTGAGGGAACCGACTGGTGGTGAAGAAAAGTATGAAAGTAAGGAACAGGAACAGGGGGAGGAAGGTGGCAAGGAGAAGAACGTAGACGTGCTATCAACCGAGCCACAAATCAGGGTGCGTAGAATTGAACAAGGAAAGCGAACAAAGGTCTAAAATGTCTTTTAGGAGGTGTCGCCTCGTTTGGCGGAGGCGCGATCTATAGCCATCATTGCTTCCAGCAGCTTGGCGATGTTTTTGAATGTGTGTTAGGAAAGACAGTAATCTTGTACGGCCTACCTGACCATTCCGTCCTGCAGATCACGGGAATGTCGACTGTTTCGGTAGCCCTCGCACTATTGGTCGAGACCGGTCGATACTTTCCAGCAGTCTTCAGTGGGTTGTGACCGCATATGCGCTGACTTCCGACTGCTTTCTACTCCTCTTCGGCCGCCTGGCCGACCTGTGCGGACGCAAGTCCGCGTTCATTTGCGGTAGTGTGTGGTTGATCGGATGGAGCGTTGCATGTGGTTTGGCAAGAAATGATATCGAGCTCTTCGTCTTCCGGGCGCTGGCAGGTATGGGACCGAGTGCGACGGTACCTGCGGCGATTGGAATTCTGGCCAAAACATTCAGGCATGGGCACGCCAGGACAGTCGCTTTCGCAACATTGCAAGCAGGCGCACCTCTCGGTAGTGCGTTCGGCTGCGTTCTGGGAGGTGTTGTAACACAATATGTGCCGTCAGTGCATATTGATACAGTCCAAAAGGAGAGATAGGCTCATTTTGCGCACAAGGCTGGAATCGTGGCGAGCTATGTTCTTCATTCTGGCGGGTCTTGGAGTAGCCGTTCTCGTAATGGCTCTCCTGGTCTATCCGAAAGATGAGCCAAGTACCGAAGTGTGCCGCAGAGTAGACTGGGTCGGTGCTTTATTGATCACAGGAGGGCTGGTCCTGTTCACATTTTGTATGGGACAAGGCGGGATTGCGCCGTGGGGATGGGCACCAGGATGTGAGCGTCTGGATATATAACACCTGGCAACGTAATCCTCACCGATCTTGCTAGACATCATAGCCCTTCTTGTGATTTCTGTTGCATTCATGATCTCGTTTGTCTTCCGGGAGTATTATGTCGAGAAGTGCTTGTCGCTGCCGCCCTTGATGAGACTTGACTTGTGGAGGAGATCTGGAGGACAATTCGCAGCCATACAAGTGATTGCCTTCCTCGTGAACGGCGCATTCTCGACCTGGTCTTATTGGGCGACATTATAGTAAGCATATGGGGAGGTGATCAGACACAGCTTTGCTCACGATATGCTCATGCAGTTACCAAGATTATCTTGGATTGACACCCATTCAGACGATGCTTCGTCTGCTGCCGATGAGCGCAGCTGGTCTTACCGTTAATGTGGTATTCACCCTCATTGCCGCGCATGTACCTGGTCAAATCATCATCAGTAAGTGTATCGCTTGGCTCTATATTCTGTCAAGACTCAACGCGCATACACAGTGCTCGGTTGCATCGGTACAGGGCTGGCCAACCTTCTGTTCGCAGTGATCAAGACGAATGTCGTATTCTGGGGTTTTGGATTTCCTGCTGCTATCTTGAGCGTGTGGGGCGCAGACTTGTAGGAAGGACGATGCACCGCAGGGCCCGGCTGACTATATGCTACGCAGCATTATGTCAGGAGGAAGCGTGTTCACGGCACATGTTGCAATGCCTCACGAGCAAAGTCTGGCAGGAGGTGTATTTAACACCGTCAATCAGGTGGGTTCGACATGCTCTTGTGGATATTGAGACACTCACGCACCAACAAGATTGGTACGACCTTCGCTAAGACCATCACGACCATCACATACGACAGGGATGTACGATTCCAGTCCACCAACATGGGTGTTGCGCTCGATGCGACTGCCACAAATATACCGCCGGACCCCTCCTTCATGGCTATCGGGTTGCTCAGTGGACGGCTTTCGCGTTCGCTATGGGGGGTTTGGTTCTCAGCGTTGTTTGCTTGCGTGGAGTAGGCATCTTACAGGCAGACAGAAGCCCAGAGTCGAGAGGAAAGAGGGAAAGAATCGAGAAGGGGAGGAAGTCAGTGGCAGGAGCAAACGCGGGTTGAATGGTGGACAGACATGTCGACGCGCGTCACATTTAACGCGTGCAATCACATGTATGACACGTGATTACATTACAGTCATGTCATTGCCTCCGCCCACGCGTCTCATACCGAACGCGACTGGCTCTTCTTCATCTTGTTCATTCACGTCCACCTTCTCCATCTTTCTGCGCCTCCTTCTCTGCGAGCCATGTCATTCAACCTTACGCCGGATGCGTGCAGCCAGCTGATGCAGGATGCCCCGCCAGACTTTTCCCCCGTCTTACAAATTTTGTCTGTGAAGCAGGTAAACACCGGCCCTGCAGGGCCTCCTCGGATGCGGTAAGCACCATATATGCGCCTGTTTGCAGCTCAGATCATTAAGTCAAACCCAGCGTGATTATTAGCGATGGACAGCATTTCACTCAAGCGATGCTGGCAACACAACTCAACCACCTGACGGACAGGCCAGAAGAAGACACACCTGCGGAACTGGACAAAAACTCTGTCATAAAATTAGAAAAGTTCGCCAGCAACAGCGTTCAGAATAAGCGGTATATCGGATACTCTCGTATTTGTGTCGTGTATCTTACTGTTGTCTGATAGCCTCATTATTCTCCTCGATCTCTCCATTCTAGGCAATGCAGGCCAGAAGATCGGCAACCCGACTTCGTACGACGTCGCGAAGGCCGAGTCCCATGCTCAGGCCATTTCTGCTCCCGCTCCTGCTGCCCCGCCCATTACTGTACAGAAGTCACACCAACCAGCACCTGGTGGTACGCGTTCAGCAAGTATGCCGAAGAACGGTGGTCCGATCTTCCCTATCGAGGGTCTAAGCCCGTACCAAAATAAGTGGACTATTAAAGCACGCGTGACCAACAAGAGCGACATCCGCCACTGGAGCAATCAAAAGGGGGAAGGGAAGCTGTTTAGCTTTACCTTAATGGATGAAACTAGCGAGATCCGGGCTACTGCGTTCAACCAGCAGGTAGACGAATTTTACGACATGATCCAAGAGGGCAAGGTGAGCCGCCGCCTGAGTGCATTGATATCTTTTGTTAACGCCAACCAGGTCTACTTCTTTTCTAAGGGCCGTATCGGTCCTGCAAAACGGCAATTCAACAACGTGTCCAACCTCTACGAAATCACATTTGAACGGAACACAGAAGTGGAGCCTTGCCTCGATGCAGGCGACGTTCCTGAGGTCAAGTATCAATTTGTCACGTTAGAGGGTCTGCAGGAAGTACCAAAGGATGCGACTTGTGGTGAGCACCGCTAGATCATTCACATCTGGTCTCTTGCTGATTCGACCCATATAGACGTCATTGGAGTTGTCACCGAAGTCGGTGAACTGGGGGAGATCCTTGCGAAGGCGACCGGACGTTCAGTACCGAAGCGTGACATCTCGATCGTTGACCGGTCTGGATTCTTTTGCCGTCTAACGCTCTGGGGAAAATCTGGCGAGACCTTCCAAGCGCCAGATCAGCCTATAATCGCGTTCAAAGGCGTTCGCGTAAGCGACTTCAATGGTCGGAGTTTGAGCTTCCAAAGCTCGAGCCAGATGTCTATCAATCCGGACATTCCCGATGCTCATCAGCTTCGCGGTTGGTACGATTCGATCGGGAATAATCAGCCGCATCACACGTTCTCTTCGGCAGCTGGCGCCGGTGCTGGTGGCGACCGTGGTCAGTTCAATCGTAACGAGCTGAAGACGATCGCCCAAGTGAAGGATGAAGGCCTTGGCATGGGCGAGAAGAACGATTTCTTTACAACTAAGGCATCCGTTATCCATGTGAAGCAGGAGAATTTCGTGTATCCTGCCTGCAGAAGTGAGAAGTGTAACAAGAAAGTTGTGCAGACGAGCGACGGGCGCTGGGAGTGCGTCAGTTGTGGACTGACCTTTGACGAGCCGGAGTATCGGTACGCCGTATTATCTCCTTGGTTGGTGCTTTGTGCTAATGATCACCGAAGGTATCTGTTAAGTATCAGCGTTGCTGATCACACAGGGCAAGCCTGGCTCTCGGCTTTCAACGACGCCGGTGATATGCTTTTCGAGATGAAGGCTGGCGAGTTACAAAACCTGAAAGACACCGACGAGACACACTTCTCCAAGGTGATGAGCGATGTGCGGTCGAAGATGTACAACTTCTCGTGCCGTGCTCGTCAAGATACATACAATGACCAGACCAAAGTGCGGTACAACATTACACGAATGACCAAGATTGACTTGAAGACGGAGATGAAGGCATTGGTGGACAATATGAAGGCGTATCTGTAGGTTGTGCATTTTTCCACCATTACATGACTTGTTTTGTCTCCAGTTTTGTTTTTCTAACCTACTCGTGAATGTAATTCTACTCCACCACCTAGTATGGCAACATGCTGTTCCCCACCCTTCCCGCCCTCGCACTTCCCTGCCACTGACGAGGCTCTCATTCAAGCCCGCCATCAGCGAGTTCGAACTCTAGTTCAGGGGGAATATCTACTTGGAACAGAATAAATTGAAATCCTAACCTGCTACCTCGGGACCACTTATTGTTTTGGCCTTGCGACAATGATATTTATTTCGTAGCACCAGTGTCAATTAACGGTGACAGCGCTGTCCGCCCCTCCTACGTACGGCATACAGATTGATGAGCTAGCGCATCCGTTGTTCAGGAGGCCGAGTTCCATATATTTATCCCACAACTGTGTGAGTGTCTCTAATCTAAACCACGCATCGCAGAGGGTCATTTAGTTTCAGATTATGTGCATGAGAGTGTGATGAAGAATGTGAACTGAATCAACGAGAAAATGCCTGATGATTAGAGAATGTTTCATTGCTACGATTGTGTCTCCCAGACCTCACTATAGAATGACTCACACAGTGTCGGATCAGTGTGTTGGGTGCATTTTATTAGGATGACAACACTGTTCCCTATAACAGTTGTGATCGAGAGCCGAGTTGAAGAGTTCAGCACTATGAGCAATCACTATGTTGAGGGGGGACATGATCTGCATGGTGGAATACCGCCTATTCCTTCATCGGCTCTTCCTCTTTCATGTGTTCTTCGTTCATCCCCGGTACTCTCCACTGCACCCCGAGCTCCTTCTGCTTTGCCAGAATGAGATCGCTCAAACTGCCCTTCGTCGCGTTCTCCGGTATATTGATGCCCATGTATGTGGCTTTTCTCTTCTGTCCAGGACTCGGGGGCATATCCCTCTCCTCCGGGGAAGGGATGAACGCAGGCTTTCCCTGATTGAGGAGTTCTACCCGGCAGCGAGCTATAAAGTCCGATACCTCACCGCGGGTGGAATTGGTGGGGTCGAAGGTCAGCTGGATGCCAGCGGAGTCAGCGAGTCGGCGGGCGAGTTCATACTGCGTATTGGAGCTGGGCTGCTTCCGTGCTAAACCGAGAGGTACCGAACGCCGGGGGAAGTAGTTGCCAGCCTGAAGATTATCAGCATGAAATCGATATTCTCACTCGCAAGGAACTGCAATGCAAATCGCCCACGAGACTTACCATCTGGACTTTGAACAACCACTGCCTCATCTCATTGAAGGTCATCCCCTCTTTTAGTTCGTCCGCACAAGGCGCTCCGTTCTCAACAAGGTGCCTTGCAAGAACCAGTTGTGTCGGTGTCGCTGGCATTGGGGTAGTTTCGGCAGCCTACGCATAATCAAGTCAGGAATCCGACTTGCAGTAGGTGATTCCGTCGCTGGAAATACTGTTGTGCAGTTGATCTAGGCCGAAAGCCTCTCCAACCGACACCAAAATGCACACATGCCTAAGTACATGAAACGAATATACATACCTGATCCAACCACTCCCTCATCTCCTGCATTGTGATATCCTTATGCAACCTCTCCGCGTTCGGCGCCCCATGCTCGACGAACAACCTCGCGAGCGCAATCTGTTTTGACGTTGGGCGAGTGCGGAAGGTGTTGTAACGGGAGGGATGATCGTGATCGGTCACTTGGTTTGGAAATGCGGAGCCTGCCGAGATATCCGGGACGTCGGTCATATTCTGCAAAAGGTCGTGAGTCTTTCCTTCACGTTTAGTTAAAAATACACGCACAGATCGACATTGCTGTAGGACTACATTCCTTCTAACAATAGCGGAGCGGAGGGGTCGGGCAGCAGGCGCTCCTAGGCGGAGAAGAGACAGCATATTTCAATCGAGGAAGATTATTGCAAGAGGTCCAATTTCACTTGCAAGTCGCAGGATATGGCATAATTTTGTGGACAGAATCCGCTGTTCCACGGAAGCTGTTGTAAGTGCACAACCCCGGATCTTCTCGGAACTCCTGGTCTATTTGGCTTTCTCCGGGTTTGTCCCAGCTAGTCCTGTCCTAAACATTCAAATTTGGGCTGATCCCGATCAGTCTGACCTTTTATTGCTTGAACCTTGCTCCTCCTGTTCAGTATAGATAACTCTGAATAAAAATGGATTTTGCCCATTTCATCCCAGCACCCTAGCCTGGCAATTACAGGCAGGTCCCACTCTTTTGTGGAATGTCCTGATGTATTCCAGCTTCTCTGGCACTCCTGATTGCTTGACTACTCCTGCACTTCCCCAAGACTACCTGGAGCACTGCATCTGTAACTGCAGTAGCTTCACCATCTCAAGAGAAGTGGAGCGAGTCAAAGGACCTTTCTTTCCTATTTTGGGGAAAAGGGACTCTATCACTCCCCCTGGATCTGTGCAGACCCACAACAAGAGACCCACGACAAGACCTTTCCCACCACCCTCATGTATAACCATGATACCTTTTTTGGGGATCTTGCTTTCTTCTCCTGCCATGTCTGGGGCACTCCTGTCTCCTACCATCAAGTCTGACATTGCCACTCAAATGGATTGCCTCTCCACAAGAGTACTGGTGGCTACCCACTTGGATGTTGGCCAACCTGATCACTTGGCTAAGATACAGAATGAGGGGAATGAATTTTGGGCTGCCATTATCAAAGTGAGTTACTTTAGCCCACACTGGCATTCTGTCAGGGCACCAGCTCATTGGTTGGTCAAGAGACATGACTAAGCCTTTATGACATGGAAGTAGCTG